GTCAGGTGGCCAGCCTATTCAGGGGAGCTTCATTTGCATGTCAGTCCAGTGTTAATGTGGGTCTTGGGGTCTGTGGCTGGCCAGGATTTACCTTAGTGCACCTGCACTACTAACCTCTCTTCTGCGATACACGGAGACACCCATGGCCATGATCCTGTTTTACACTGACCTCAGTAGAGTTACTTCCATTAATCCTTCTTTCCTTCTTTCTTTCTTTTTTTAATATATTTTTTTAGTTGTCAATGGACCTTTATTTACTTATTTAGTTAGTTATAYGCGGTGCTGAGAATCCAACCCAGTGCCTCACACATGCTAGGCAAATGCTCCACCACTGAGCCCCAGCCCCAGCCCTAATCCTTTCTTTCTCTTGGTTGCTATCTGTTCATTCTCAAAGTTTATGCACTTGGCATTTTTCTGCAAGTTGTCTGATTATCCATTTGCTCTACAAGTAATTTAAAAGCAAAAGGCAACCTTAAAAAGTAACTTAAGAGGCTGGGGTTGTGGTTCAGTGGTAGAGCACTCGTTTAGCACATGCAAAGCACTGGGTTCGATCCTCAGCACCAAATAAAAATAAATAAATAAATAAGTAAAATAAAGGTATTGTGTCCAACTACAGCTAAAAAAAATTATAAAAAGAAAGTAACTCAAAACCTGTGACCTTGCCATGTGTTTCACTGCTATGACTAACTAATTCCATTTTTATGAGAATATATATGCTTCCACCATAGGTGCTAATAAATGCTTTGTCCTAATGAAGATCTATAAACATACTTGAGGCAGGTTTTCACACCATGTAAATTGTATGAGGATTATTGATGAAAGAGCAGAGTTAAGAGCTTTTTTTAGTAATAAAAACTCGGTGGCTGGGGTTGTGGCTCAGTGGTAGGGTGCTTGCCTAGAAAGTGTAAGGCACTGGGTTTGATCCTTAGCACCACATATAAATAAATAAATAAATAAATAAATAAACAAACAAACAAATAAATAAATAAATAAAATTATTGTGTTCATCTTCAACTACAAATTATTTAAAAAAATAAGAGAAAGAAAGAAAGAAGAAGGAAAGGAAGGAAGGAAGGAAGGAAGGAAGGAAGGAAGGAAGGAAGGAAGGAAGGAAGAAAACCTCGGGTAAGGCTGGGCAAGGTGGTGCAAAGTGGGATTGCACCTGTAATCCCAGCGGCTCTGAAGGGTGAGGCAGGAGGATCTTGAGAGTTCAAAGCCAGCCTCAGCAAAAGCAAGGTGCTAAGCAACTCAGTGAGACCCTGTCTCTAAATAAAATACAAAATAGGGCTGGGAATGTGACTCGGTGTTGAGTGCCCCTGAGTTCAATCCCTGGTACCAAAAAAAAAAAAGTAATGGGGGTGTTTGGGATTGTGGCTCAATGGTAGAGTGTTTACCTGGCGTGTGTGAGGAACTGGGTTCGATTCTCAGCACCACATATAATTAATAAGTAAATTAAATAAAGGCATGTGTCCATCTACAACTAAAAAAAGAAAAACCTTGGAGAAGGAAGATGTAAATTGTTTACATTGTACCTACATTGGACATAGAGAAGAGGCAGGGGATTATACCAAGGAAGCAGGGAGAAGTGCTTGTGCATCCAACTGTTTGGGTTCTAAGCAGGATGCTGTGGTACCTGGGGGGTCATGATGGAATTTGAGTTAAGGATTTGGGGTTTTAAATTGGTTTTGTTTTTGCAATGTTGGGGATCAAACCCAGGGGCCCACGCGTGCCGGGCAGGTGCTCTGCCACTGAGCTGCACCCGCAACCCTGAGTTAAGGTTTTAACACATTGGCCTATAGTTTGTTAACTGATTAACTTCCTCCATCTCTCCTCCCTAGTTGCCTCCAACCTTTGTAATTCAGTTTAGGACATCCCAGAATTTTTTTCTCTGATCATATAATGATTGATTTTTTCCATACCTCTTATCAGTACTGACATTATATTACATATCCATTTGTTTTATTGGTACATGGAAGTAGACTTTGTTCTTCTTGACTCTCGTATTTCTAGTGTCTTAAAATAAGGACTGGCACACAGGAAGGTGCTCAACAAATCTGTTGAATGCCTAACAGGTAACAAAGATGTCCATTCTTCTCTGTCCCCAGCTCAGGGTGTCCTGCCTATACAAGCCTTAAAAGTTCAAGTGTGCCAGTGCCTGTAATCCCAGAGAGCCCTGCAGAGCTCTAAGCAGCTTTCAAACTTTTTTAACCATGATCCTTGGAAGAAATATATTCTATCCCTAGGGCGCGTGTGTGTGTGTGTGTGTGTGTGTGTGTGTGTGTGTGTGTGTACTTTATATGCTTTAGCATGAGCATGATTGATTCTGTTTTGGTCTGGTCTGGTCTGTTGGAGCCTAGTCCAAAATAATTGCTTTCCATAAACTTTGTTTAACGACACGTACGTAGCTGATATAGCAGTTACGTGTTGGGAGCTTGCTCACTCTTTCTTTCCTTCCTTCCTTCCTTTTCTTTTTCAGTTCTTTCCTTACTTCTTGAACAGATAAACTCGACTTTCTAAAAGTAAATCCACTCCCATCTTTATTTATTTTTTAAAAAATTTATTTATTATTTTTTTAATTGTAGTTGGACACAATACCTTTATTTTTTATGTGGTGCTGAGGATCAAACCCAGAGCCTTGCACGTGCTAGGTGAGCCCTCTACCGCTGAGCCACAACCCCAGCCCCCGCCATCTTTATTTTTATGTATTTAATTAAGAAAAAAAAAATTTTGTACCTGCAATTGAGCCCAGGGCTACTTAACTACTGAGCCACATCCCTACCCTTAAAAAAAAAAATTCTGTTTTTTTCCTTTAGAAAAAGGTCTTGGCTGAGTTGCTCAGGGCCTCATTAAGTTGCTGAGGCTGGCTTTGAACTCAGGACCCTCCTGCCTGAGCCTCCAGAGCCGCTGTGTCYACTCACATCTTAGTCCTTTGCATCTGCTTGTCCCTCTGCCTGGAAACATGTCTAGTGATTTTGCTGTGGCTTTCTAGACCTGGCCCACCCAAGAAAGAGAGCCAGTTTTCCCCGAAGGACCACCCAGCTTCTTCCTCCCCATATCTCCCACAGCCTCTTCACATTTATAACAAAATGAAACAAAAAATTCTAACCACAGTCTCTAATTATCATGGCCCATTTCCACCCCCACCCCCAGAGGAAGTGTTATGAGGTCATCACCCTCCCASTGGGATATGCAATAATCTTTCTCTCTGCTTTCTGTGCCAGGGACACTACCACCTCTCCAGAGAACCTCACAGAAACTTACATTTGGAAACCTCTACAAATATATTTACWGACTCTCATACGTATTATAAAAACATTAGCCCCTAGTGTGTGTYAAACTCCCAAGCTAAGCACAGATAAGATCACATTTAACTCTTGAAGCAGCCCTCTAAGCTAGATACTATCCTCATCACTCCCACAGTAGAGGTGAGGAAACTGAGACCAGAAGGATCAAGTAACCTAACCAAGGTCCCACAGCTWTAGGTAGTAAAGTTGGGATGGAACCAATGACCTTATATTCCACTCTGCTCTCTCTAGTAACCTGGTGTAATATTTGTCTATTTGAGGCAACCAGTGTCCATGCTGGAAGATGACCCCACTCAGCACGGCTGGGGCGTGGTTCCAGGCTGTTAGCAGCTCCTTTATCCCTCAGGTACTAAACCTACGTGCTGCAGAGTGATGGGTTCTGTCCCCTTTATGTAGTGTGATTCAGAGGGACTTCACAGGAGAGGTGTCTGAGCCCCTGTGAGCTTCAGGATCTCTTCCAGATTTTGCTTCCACCTGTGTCCAGGGGAGATGAACTTATGAAAGCTCTCCAACACTCAAGGCCTGGGCCCTTCCCCTTTTGGCTGAGCTGTCTATCCAGCTCTCTGCCAAGATCCCTTCAGATGGAGTCTGGGCTTGAGGAGCAGGGCTTCCTTCCATGGGCTGGCCTGGGTCCCCAGCAGAGGGCTCAATCTGGCTTCAGACTGGTAAAAAGCCTTGAAATAATTCAGGTACATGTTAGCAGTTCTTTCTGAAGTGGGCTTTTTTTTTTTTTTTTTCCTTTTACATGCTTATATACACATTCCATTTTCTTCAAAATAAATATTTGTTACTTTTCCTCAGTGCTAATTGAAAAACATCCAAAGATTCAAATTGAGAAAATCTGGATGCAAATACTGTACTTGGGGAAAATCGACCTTAGACGCTTCTCACTGGRCCTCATCATGCAATTTAAAACGTATTCATCATAGTAATCCCCCTTCCCGCCACTGGGGATCAAGCCCAGGGTGCTTTACCCATGGGTTACATCTCCAAACCTTTTAATTAAAAAAATATATATTTTTAGTTGTAGATGGAAACAATACCTTTATTTTGCGTATTTGGTGTTTTTTTTTTTTTATGTAGTGCTGGGGATCAAACCCACTGCTTCACGTGTACTAGGCAGGCGCTCTCCCATTGAASCACAACCCCAGCCCAGACCTTTTAATTCTGAGACAGGATCTCACTAAATTGTTGATGCTGGCCTCGGATTTGGTGAACCTCCTGCCTCAGTCTCCGGAGTAGCTGGGGTTAGGGGTACATCACACGTAGCCCTGTTTTGAGTTTCAGTTCATTTACTCCTCAGCCCAAGTCTACGAGGCGGGTCCTCTCACCCGCATTTTACTGGCGAGGCCACTGAACCGCTAAGAGCGCTTTGAGCCGGCAGCGTGACCTCAGCCTAGTTTTAAACTACTGTCTAAACGGCCTCTCAAAAAGGGCTGTTGCAAGGATTACCCGGTAAGAATGCTCGTAAAGCGCTTAGCAAAAGCCTGGCACTTAGTAAGTGCGCAATAAATTTTCCTACAGTCTCGTTACGGTTCGGTGTTTTAAGTTTGTTGTTTTAAAAACACGCGCACCACACGATCGAASTCGGCAATCCCAACGCCTGCCAAGAGGGCGGGCTCCGGGCGGAAGGAGGCGGAGCCGGGCGCTCGGCGCCCCGGGGCGGGGCCGGGGCGGGGTCTGGGAGGCCCCGCCCAGCAGCACCTGCGACAGGTGGAGCGCGTAGCGCGCGGCGCTCGGCCATGTCTGCGGATGGATCCGGGCCGGGGACGGGGCTCGGACCGGGGTCCGAGCGGGGCCCGCTGTGCCCCGAGCACGGCCAGGATCTCAGCTGGTTCTGCGGCTCCGAGCGGCGGCCCGTGTGCGCCGCCTGCGCCGGGGTGGGCGGCCGCTGCGAGGGGCACCGCATCCGCCGGGCGGAGCAGCGCGCCGAGGAGCTGCGGGTGAGCGGGCGTGGGCCCGGAAGGCGGGGGACTCCGGGCGGCGGTGGCGCGCAGGGCCGGACAGGCAGGGACCCGGCGGCCTGGGTCGGGCTCCTCAGTGGTTTGGCCTGTAGAGCGAGGCCGTTGAAGGTGTGGCTTCTGGAATCGGGTTGATCCGAGTTCGAATCCCACCCTCTTCCGTGCTCCCTGTGAGTCACAAAACTCCCTGAGCCTCAGTGTCTTCATCTGTAATTGGGGGCAATAATAATAATAGTGGCATGTGTTTATTATAGTTGACCTTTGATAAAAGTGGGTCCTTCCTCACCCCTGGATTCAGACCCACACCCCTCTTTCCTGGTTTCCTGGTGAGGCATTCTTTTTCCCTTCCAGGATTGGCCTCGACTGTACTGGTGTCACCTGGATGGGGAGGGGGCGGGGAAGATAACTGGAGATTCCCTTTCACCTGAGATTTCTTCTCACCTCCACTTTCAGCTTGGTTCCAGGCTGGTCACCTGTCACCACCCCTCCTCTGAGCTGCTGAGATTGGAGAGTCAGTCACTTTGGTGCTTCCTCCCTCCTTCCATCTTAGCTGTGGCCCCTGGGGATTTCCTTGCAATTGGAGTCGCCCAACCCCACCCTGGAGTTCAGCCCTGCTGTGCACTTGAGTGCTCTCACTGGGGACTTCACCTACTTAGAGTGGACTGTAATACACATACCTTACGGGGTGCTAGGGCCAGCAGGGGTTCAGTTATTTAGTGACATCTTGATTGGTCTTACCTGTCAACAATAGCGATGATGAAAATAAACTTGGATGATATGATATAATCAACTTGCATTAGGAATAGGAACCTCTCAAATTCCAAAGTACTTAAACATCTGTCTTCTCATTCCATCCAGACCAAGTCTTGGAAGTGGCAGTGCTACTCAGCATTTTATAGATGAGGAAACTGAGGCCCAGAGCAGGGCAGTAACTCCTTCTAGGTTTCCAATTGTCAATGGCTGGAGGCGGGGCACTTACTGACTAGGCAAGAGAAAGCCACCTCTTTGCTTCAGGGGTTAGGGGGAGGAAGTAATGCTAATGAGATGGAGAATTTCATGAAAACCTTAAAAAGTAGCCATGGGCATTTCTGAATGGTGAAAGTGGTAAAGGCTGGAGCAAGGTGGCAGACCTGGTGCTTATTTTGGAATGTACTCTGCCTCAGGGCATCTTACCTGACCCTTCTCCCCCAACCTCTCCTATTCACCCCTTTGCCTGAAGGGAGGTGGGCTTTGCCCTCAACCCCTTTCAATTTAGAGCAGAAATGTCTTTAGCACACTATCCCCTATCTCTCCAGCAAAGAAATTTCACACCAGGGCAAGACTGTTACTGAACTGGATCAAAACGGCACCAGTTCAACAGCTCTCTTACCTTCTGGATTCCTGCCAAGTTGCTTTTCAAAAGCTGGTCTCAGTTCTCCCAGTCCTGTGGTGCATGCTGATCACAGCCTCCTTGAGTCAGTTCAGTACTAAGACTTTGCATCTGCACCTGTGAATTGCCAGGCTAATTTCTACTTGTGGGAGGAAATATTTATGAGGGCTTCCTGGAAGAGATAACTGAGTTGCTTTTCAGTAGATGGAATGAGGCAAAACTCTTAAGGGGGAATCATGGAAGGACTGCTGCTTGGGAGTGCCCCAGCTGTTATCTGGAAAGATGGAGAGTAAAGCAAGGGCCTTACCATGTCACTTGGAGTGGGACACTTCTCTGTGGGCCTCATTTGCCTCATTTCTGAAACTCTTCCCTGTCCCCATATTTGATGCTAGTAGCTTTGGGAGCTGTGAATTGCTGGCCCTCTTGCAGTCAAGGCAGTGGGTGTTCATTCATTCCACAAATATTTATTTAGGGCCCTTTTGTGCAGGAACTCCTTTCTAGGGAGTAGGACGAAGAGAACAGGTCAAAGTCATGGTGCTTATATTCCAGTGGTGGGAACATAAGCAGTAAAAATAAACACACAGCATATAATCAGAGAGTTACAAGTTCAAGGGAGAAAAATAAAGCAAGGAAAAGATCAGGGGAGGGGGAATGTCAGGAAAGGCACTCAAAGAAGTAATATCTGGATGGAGTGAAGAAGCCACACATGGAGACTACTACAGAAGAAAGAAGGAAGGTGCAAAGGCTCTGAGGTCAGGACAAGTTTGGTGTTCTTAAGGAACATAAAGAAGGCCATTGTGGAGAGTGGTAGGAGGTGACATTAGAGACATAGGCAGAATCATGTCAGGTAGGCCCTTGGTGGCTAAGGTAGAAAGATTGGGCTCACCAGGAATACTCAGGAAAGCCATTGGAGGGTTTTGAGTAGGGTATGGCTTTATCTGACTTCCTTACAAAAGGCAGCCAACGAGGAGGGTAGAGGTTGAGAGTGGAATCCTGCTTGCAGGCCTAACAGGGTTCCTGTGAGAGATGATGGTCATCTGGGTAGAATAACAGGAGTGGAGGTGATCCCAAGTAGTCAGAAGACACAGGTTTTGGAGAGAGGGCTGATTAGACTCACTGATGATTTAGACATGGGGTTGGAGAGAAACTTCTGGGTTTTTAAGGTCTGGGTCACAGTTTGATAACGTGGTGCTGTTTCATGAATGGAGAAAACTTTGGAGAGAGTGGTTTGAGAAGCCATGTTCTGCTCAGGAGCAGGTGTGGAGAGTCAGCTGGGTATGAAGGAAGATTGAGAATGTATGGGAGGAAGTGATTATAATAATAGGTCATGGGATGTGGGGATAAAGAAGGAGGTGAGGGCTGGGGATATGGCTCAAGTAGCATACTCGCCTGGCATGCGTGAGGCACTGTGTTCGATCCTCAGCACCACATTAAAAAAATAAAATAAAGATATTGTGTCCACCTAAAGCTAAAAAATAAACATATTTTTAAAAAAGGAGGTGAAAGCTACAAAAGGGATGATGGGTAGCAAAACTTGGTAAGACTAGTGTATTGGTGACCCCAACTGAGCTTGCACTCTAGAGTTAGTGAGCTAGGAGAATAGGACGTGGCGGGCAGGATGTGGCATCCTTCACATGAAGATTTGGAGACAATATAATTTTTGATAATGATGCGGTTATAGACATGACCATGGGAGTGGGTGGCTGAGGTAGGGAAAAGGGGAAAATCGTCGGAATGAGTGAATGGCTCATATGCATGGCCAAAGACACTATGAGGGTTGTTTGTGTTGCAGAACAAGATCGTGGACCAGTGTGAGAGGCTGCAGTTACAGAGTGCTGGCATCTCCAAGTACATGGCCGAGGTCCTGTCAGGGAAGAACCAGAGAGCAGTGGTAATTCTTCCTTTCTCTCTGTGCCCTCTCCCCAGGATAAGACCCTAACCCCAGGAACTTAGACAAGCCTAGGATCCCTTCCCAACCTCACAAACTCATTGTGGTACTAACAAAGACAGATGTCCAGGAAGAATGGTTTCCCATTTCTCTGAGACATGATTTTGCCATCTGGACAGAGTAAGCTTGTCTCTAGTACCACATTGCATACAAAGACTGCTAGAAAATTACTTTCTTGGGTGTCTTAGCGTAGAGAGAAGGGTAGCATGTTTTTTTTTTTAATCAAGCAGTACTCTATTACTTTATTACATTCCCAGCCCTGTTTATTTTTTATTCTGTGATAGGGTCTTGCTAAGTTGTCAAGCCTGGCTTTGAACTTGTGATTATACTGTCTCAGCCTCATAAGTAGCTGGGACTCCAGGTATGTGCCACTTTGCCTGGCAAGAGTAGCATTCTAATTATCTAATTATTCTGTAAAATATGATTATTTCATACTCAGTCCCAGACTTATAAATTATTTAGGGACTTTGACACTGAGTATTCCATATGATAATCTTATGCAGCGGGTAGCAGTGACATCCCTATTTATACATGGGGAATTGGGTTCCATGGAGGTTAATTGATTTGCCCAAGGCCACACTGCCTCCTGAGAGAGTCAGTTCTATGACCTGGACCTTCAGAGGCCCAGAACAGTGCCTCTTTTCCTACATCCACTGTCAGTCCTTTCCTTGGTGGACTTATTGCCACTGCTGTGTCTTCACTCTCAATATGCCCTTCAGGGAAGGGGCTATGCTTTTGTTTCTGCACATACCCTCCCTCCTTCCGCCATAATACCTGGAGCAGACTTGTCACTGACCTAATCAAAGTTCTTTTAATTTCATGAAACAGAACCCAGTCGAATTAGCATAAATAAAACGGAATTTCCTGGCAGGGTATATGAATCCTTGAAGCTTAAACGGAACTAGTATCAGGAACCAAAAAGCTGCTAGGAGTCCAGGCAGCTACCCTGTTCATCTTTGCTTTAGTTTGCATGGTGATCTCCATGTCTTAATCCCCTCAACCTGCCTGCCCCCCTGCTCATCCTTTTTATTTTCTTGTCTTATTGCACTGGTTATGATCTTAGTACAATGTTGATTGAAAGCTACTATAGCAGATCCTAACTTTAAGGGGGAACCTTCCAACATTTTATCATTCATTTATTTAACAAATTCTTTTTGAGTACTAACCATGTGCTAGACACTGTTATCCTATGTGCTAGGCATTCCACGGTGAACAAACTATATAAAAGTTCCTGTTTTCATGAAGCCTACATTCTTGTTGTGAGAAAGGGACAATAACAAATAAAAACATATTGCATCAGAAGGTGATACCTGATAAGGGGAAATGTAAAATAGGAAGGGGATAGGATGTTCGGAGGATAGGGGTTGCAGCCACATGTGCTGTGATCGTAAGTGACCTCATTAAGGAGGCTGATATTTGTACTAACACCTAGGAGGTGGGGGAACAGACCACACATTTGAGGGAAGAGTGCTCAAGAAAGAGGGCAAGTTCAGAAGCCCTTGTTGGAGGAGCAGCCTGGAGGCCTGGGAGGCTGATACAGAGTAAACAGGGGGGGAGGCAGGAGGAGATGAGATCCCAAGGGCAGCGGGAGAGGAGAGTGGGATTGTATCCTCATCGGCCATGCAGGGACTTTGCCTTTCATTGTGGGTACAATAGGAAACCATAGGAAATTTTTGAGCAGAGTAAATGCTATAATTTAAGATTAAAGAAAAACATTTTGGCCGATATATTGAGCCGTGACTATGGACAGCAAAAGTAAAAGCAGGGACACCAATTAGAAAACAGTTATAATAGCCCAGGTGGAAGACAGTGGTTCATACCCACGCAGATTCACTAGGCTACTCTTTTCTCCCCAAAATTGAGGAGCTTCTGTCAAACAGGCATGACTATTTCCTGCACTGTACAAAGCAGGCCTTCAGGGACAGGACACAGGAAAGTGGCTGGGTGTCCCTGGCTCTCTGACACGAAAGCAGTTCTGCTCTGTTTTCTGGCAAGAGTACAAGTGCAGGTGCTTTTGCAACTGATGCCTTTGGGGAGGATTGGTTATCCGATGGCATTGGTGTTGGAGAATACAGTTGGCCTGAGAATCAAGAGAATTGGGTCCTGGTCCCTGCTCTGCCACCCATTTGTCATGTGCATGCTTCCAAGAAAGATTCGTGATTGTCAGGAAAAATGTCCCACTCAGTCATCCAGTGAATATTTGGGTACCTACTGTATGTCAGACACTGTGCCAGGAGTTAGAAGACACTCAGTAATTTCTTTGGCTGGGAATTTCTTTCAGGTCTCTTCTGTGGCAGATAAAAACTATTAGGAATTAGTTGGAACAGTCTTAGGAAGTAATGCTTTCTGTCCTTCTACATAGTGAAATAGGGAGGACTTTATAGGCTCTTCTGTAATTCTCTGACTTTGGTCCCTTGGCCTTGCTATTCCCAACTGTGACAATAAGCAGGTGGTTCCAGTTGATCTCCACATCCTGCCCAGTTCCTTCATCCTGTGATCATGGCCTCATGAGGTACAGCCTGTCATCTGGATCTTAATTTTTTCCCCCTAAACCATATTTTGGAAGTCTAAGGCTGGGATGTGAAGTAAATCGCTTCAACACTGTCATTCCCCTTGGCATGTCCATTGTGGACATTGCTAGTCCATCTCATACTCCCTCCTTCTGAGCCCAAACGCTGTAATCCAGACTGAGACATTGCCAGGACCTTATTCTTCATTTTACTCCGTGACAGAGCATGGCCAGTTCAGCACGGGAGCTGGTTATCCAGCGGTTGAGCCTGGTGAGGAGTCTGTGCGAGAGCGAGGAGCAGCGGTTACTGGAACAGGTGCATGGCGAAGAGGAGCGGGCCCACCAGAGCATCCTGACCCAGCGGGTACACTGGGCCGAGGCTCTGCAGAAGCTCGACACCATCCGCACCAGCCTAGTGGACATGCTCACCCATCTGGATGACTTCCAGCTGATTGTAAGTCAGGCAAGGGTGAAGTCCAGACGCCCCAGAGTTTGAAAACACTGGAAATGTTTATTGGTAGGAGGTGCGTGGCAAAGAGGATTTGAAGCAGGGCTGAGTGACAAAGATTACTTGCTTGGCTAAATTTTAGTCTGGCTTCTGAATGTTCTCCTAGGCCCATCTGTGTACTTCTTTGTAAAATCTACTTTTAGCAAAAGAATCCCGCTAAGTCAGTTTAGCCAGAACCCCTTCATTCTTTTTATTTTTTTTAAAATAACTTTATTTTATTTGTTTATTTTTATGGGGTGCCACGGATCGAACTCAGTGCCTCATGCATGCTAGGCAAGCGCTCTACCACTGAGACCCATTCTTGATTTCTGATTTTTCTCAATACCTAATTGGGCTTCTCATCCTCCATCATCTACAGATGATGTCTGATCATCCCGGCTTGTCTTCAGCAAGAGTCCTAATAAGTTGATTTAGCCAAAATTCCCCTTATCCTTATATTTCCTCTTGGTAATTTTCCATTCACTGACTTCCAAGATGTTCCTGGGCTGTGAATTCCCACCTGCCCATGTTGAATTCAGAGTTGAGCCCAATCTCTTCCTGGTTGCAATGGTTCCTGTACCTATCTCCATGTTCCTGAATAAGTCTTCCATACTGTGCTTTAATAAGTACCACTGAATATTTTCTTCTTTAACATGAGGCCAGAAAATCAAATTATAAGAGGGTTTGGGGCAGCTGGTAGTGATATTCTTTCAGTAGTACACAAATGTTTACTGTTTCATGCTAGGCATGCCCCTATGGGGCAGAGTTTCAGAATACAGCTGCCAATTGCTCCCAGCCTTATGAAGAAGATGAATATGTAAATTGAGAACTGGGATGTTAAAGGATATGTAATCACTCAGAGCTAGGGACCTCACAATCTGGGCTGGGGGAAGGAAAGGGTCAGGGAAGGCTTGCTGGATGAAGTGATGTAGAAGTGATAAGAGTCGCATGGGAAAGGAAGTGGAAGGTGGAGAGAGTTCAGGAGTGTGCCGAGGGCACGATGCACTTGAGGGAGCTGACGAGGGCTCCAATGAAACACAGCTCATCTCCAATCCTGCCAGAAATTACCATGATTAACATTTGGCTTGTAATCTTTCAGAATATTGTGTAGATATACAGATACCTTTAGTTTTGAAGGGACAGTGTGACATCGGAGGTAAAGGCCAAGCAGAGGAAGGAGAATGTGGAACAACTGGGCCCTCCCACTGCATTTTCAGTAGGGCAGTTTTCATGACTGCCCTGCATTGTGCTTTCACAAGTCACCCAGCTTCCCTGTACAGAGCACATTCTGTCCTAGACACTGGGACAGTCACAATAGAGGATCTAGAGAGTCTCAGCTGTCCAGGAGCTGACAGTCTTCATGGGGGATATTGGCAAATGGACGACGGTCTTGAAGTGGAGTTGAGGGAAACCCAGGATACCCCGGGGTAGGAGCAGTAGAGTGATTCATCCTGTGCATGTGTCACGGGGATGAGTGGGAGAAAAGCAACCCATACAACTTGATTTTGGCTTTAGGGGAAGGAGTAGGAGCTTTGGTCCTAGAGTCTGTGTCTACATGGAACCCTCTCTACAAGGCAGTCAAGTTTTGACTGCCTGCTGGGTGTCTGGTGCCAAGTCTGACATTGTTTTCTTTCTTTGCAGCAAAAGGAGCAGGAGATTTTTGAGAGGTGAGTATGGTCCTGAGGTTTGCTTAGGTAGTCACAGACCCTAGGCCTCTCCCCAGTCTCTGCTCTTTGGAGAAAGTGTCAGGCATGCGACTGAGTGACATCCCTGGATGGCTTGATGGTCAGGGTCTTCCTGCCCCTGGTCTAGACAGTTGCTTTAGACCCACACGGAGGAGCACTGAACATATACTTATTAACCAGAGCCTTGCCATGGACTCTTTTTGATTGCTTATTTGTTTTGGTTTGTTGTTTTTTCAGGAGAGGATTGAACTGGGGCCTATATGCTAGGAAAGTGCTCAATCACTGAGCTGCAGCCCCAGGCCCTCGCCATGGGCTTTTAAAAACTTTTTTTTTTGTTTTTTGCAGTGCTGGCATTGAACCCAGCAGCTCTTCATGCTAGGCAAGTGCTGTGCCTCACCCTCAGACCACCATGAGCTTTCTTTCTGTTTTTTTTTTTTTTTTTTTGTATTGGGTGTTGAACCCAGGGACACTTGACCACTAAGCTACATCCTCAGCCCTTTTTTTTTTTTTTTAATGTATTTAGAGGGGCTGGGGATATAGCTTAGTTGGTAGAGTGCTTGCCTCACATGTACCAGGCCCCCGGTTTGATCCCCTTTAGTGGCTTCTGGGTGGAATTGGTTGCTAAATATTTTTTCTTTCTGATACCAAGGATTGAACCCAGGGGCACTTAACCACTGAACCACATCCCCAGCCCTTTTTAATTTCTTTTTTCAGAGACAGGGTCTAAATGAGGTTGCTTACAGCCTCACTAAGTTGCTGAGACTGGCTTTGAACCTGTGATCCTTCAGCCTCAGCCTCCCAAGCTCTGAGTAGCTGGGACTACAGGCATGCGCCACTATACCTGGCTGGCTGCCAGTCTTGATGTCACTGTGTTAGTAGGAGAATTTTACTTCTCTCCTTCTCCACTCACCCCATAATGATCCAGGTGTATTTCCAGAAGCTTCTTGAATCTCTTTTTTTTTTTTTCCCCCTGCATAAGGACCGAGGAAGCAGAGGGCATTTTGGATCCCCAGGAATCAGAAAAATTAAACTTTAATGAGAAGTGCACTTGGAGTCCACTACTGACCCAGCTCTGGGCAACGGCGGTTCTTGGTTCTCTCTCAGGTTAGGAGCTGCAAAAGCCTGACACCTTCAGGAGCAATTGGGCTTCTGTCTGTCTGTCTGTCTGTCTGCCTGGGGTTTGCTTCTGGAACAGTAGCTCAGGCAACCTGTGATGCCTGAAGTTGGCTGCTCAGGGGGCTGTGGCTGTGGACAGGGCTGAGTAGCTGGGCCAGGTCCCTCTCATTACTAGACCAGTCTGCCCTGTGGTTGGATCTAGGATTAATTTTCTTCCTGTAAAGCACATCCTCCTACTTTCTGCCCTTCTAGGGCAGCTCATTATGATTTCTTGGAAACCTCAGTTTTCTCTTTAAGAAAATATAACCGATGGCCAGCTGGAGGGCAGATGGACCAGGGAGGACACTGCCTGGCTTTGTCTCATCCGTGCGCTTTACAGAGACTCAGACTGACCGTGGGCCTGGCTCTGTGCTGCATCCTAGGGCCACACAGGTTAACGTGACGCCGTCTTCTACCTCCAGGGATTCCCACTTAGCATGGGGGTCTCAAAGCAGGCTTCTTCAAGGCTGGATAGAAGCTTCTGTACTCCAGTGGTAGTCTTTGCACAGTTCACGGGAAGGTTAGGTTAGTAGACTGACTCTTTTTTCTATTTTAACCCTCCCCCTGTATATTATCCTTAAATTTTTGACCTAAGCTATAGCTTGTCTACACTAGGTTCTAGTGTCAGATGGCACCTGAGTTTTCAGCAGCCTATTAACTTTTGAAAACTGCATGTCTCATGCTTCCTAGCTTCAGGAGCTCTGTCTCCAGGGTAAGTCATATCTGGAGGACACAGATATGACCAGCTAGCAATCAGTATGACCTGTGCTAGATGCACCAACAAAATGCTGAGTCTTCATTTGACCCTGCCTCCCACTCAGCATGGAACCCTGAGCAACTCACTGCTCTTTCTGCCTTACTTCTGTCAAAGTTTACAATCGAAATCTTCAGCTAGTAATAACTGCTGTTACCATGGGTACAGTTTATCGAGCACTTACATGTTAGGCACTTCACATGTATTTTTTAAAATTTTATTTAATGTTCATGACCACCCTGTGATATTATATTTGATAGCTGTTTTACAGACAAGGAAACTGAGGCTCAGAGAGAGTAAATGGCTTGTCTGAGTCTGACTGCCAGTGAGTGATGAGAAATCTCTTTGCTACCTTATGGGATCAGGTTGGGGCTTTCTGGGAGGGGCCTGGATGACTCAGAATTCTTTCTGGCAGGCATGGAGGACATCCGCATTGATGAGAAGACTATCAGCCCCTCTCTGCAATTGTCAGATGATCGAAGGACCCTGACCTTCAGTGCCAAGAAGTCCAAGGCCTGTGCAGATGGCCCAGAGCGCTTCGACCACTGGCCCAATGCTCTGGCTGCCACCTCCTTCCAGGAGGGGCTCCATGCCTGGATGGTGAAAGTCCAGAACAGTTGTGCCTATAAAGTGGGCGTGGCCTCAAGCCAGCTGCCCCGCAAGGGTTCTGGTAGTGACTGCCGCCTGGGCCACAATGCCTACTCCTGGGTCTTTTCCCGCTATGATCAGGAGTTCTGCTTCTCGCACAACGGGCGGCATGAGCCCCTGGGGCTGCTGCAGTGCCCCGCGCAGCTGGGCGTGCTGCTGGACCTGCAGGCACAAGAGCTGCTCTTCTTCGAGCCGGCCTCGGGCACCGTGCTCTACTCTTACCGCACAGCCTTCCCTCGGCCCCTCCGCCCAGTCTTCGCTGTGGCCCACCAGACGATTTCCATCATCCACTGACCTTGGGCCACAGGGAGGCCACCTCCACCTCCCATCACCTTCTCAGGCCAGGCCACATATCTACTGGATGTCCTTTCCCCAAATGGTGTGGGGTTTCTAAGGGAAGCAGGGTCCATGCCCAGTGGGCAGCTTCAGGAGCAGTAGATATTGTTTCAGACCTGGACAAATCCTTTAAATCCTGGCCGTCTCTGGCTCCTGGGACTTTACTCCCAGTCTACCACGCATCTGCCCCTGTGAGGTGTCTCCTTCACCACTTTATCTCTGGCAACCAGCATGGTATCTGGTGCATAATGAGGGAGCAGTAATTATATGGTGAGTGAGTAGGTGGATGGACAGATGGACAGGTGACTGGGCAGATGTAGTTTCTGGAGAAGCACTTCAGCCCCGTCCCCCCAGCTTCTCACATATGGAAGGGATTCTCTGCAGAGAAGCCTATGGCTGAAGACTGTCCTCTTAGTTCAGTACTTCTCCATCTTTTTCAGGACATGGCACAATGAGAAAATATTTTTTTAGTACACAAGGACCACCTGGAAGAGATTTAGAACTTCTGTGAGGCTGTTCTTGGGCAGAATAGTCTGGCCTAGGAATGCCCAGGTCCTGCCCTGGCTCAGAAGACTGAGGGATCCTACCTCCAGGAAACCTAACGGCAGCACAGCCATGGGCATTTGCCCCAGACCCAGAGGCTGAGCGCCAGCTTGTGCCCACCCGTGTTAATGGTTGGAATAAGTAAATGTTTCCCTTGAAACATTTACTGGTGAGTGCCCCTCTGTCTTAAAGACCTAGGGTAAGAGTTTCAGGTCTAAAAGAGCTTCAAGTAAGAACTGAGGACTGACCTTAGGGAACATGGACATGATTAAAGGTCTTAAAAGACTTGAAGACTTCTTGTATGTTCTTTGTTAGTAATTGGCTACAGACTGTGCTGGCTCAGTCTTAACCCTCACACACAGCGAGGCCTAGCAGAAAGACTCTGCAGACATTTACTGGGATCAAGGGCAAAGCCCTTAGTGTTCTCCTTCATGAGCTGACCCAAGAATAGTGTTCTTCAAACTTTTATTCAGGAACACTCTTAAAAAGCAGCCTTACTCTGGGCATGGTGATATGCTCCTGTAATCTCAGCAACTCCAGAGGCACATTTAATTGCAAGTTCAAGGCTAACCTCAGTAATTTAGGGAGACTCTGCCTCAAAATGAAAAATAAAAAGGGCTGGGGATGTAGTGCAGTAGTAAAGCACCCCCGTTCAATACCCAGTACCAAAAAAAGCTTTATCAGGGCTGGTGCTGGAGTTCAGTGGTAGAGCTCTTGCCTAGTATGTGAGAGGCCCATTTGGGTTCTATCCCTAGCATTGCAAAAACAAAACAAAATACTACCTGCAACGTAGGGCTCTGGGTTCAAAGAGGATGTGAACCAGAGCCCTCCCCACTTAAAAATCACTGTTTGAAAATCACTGCTTAATCAGGGGAGGTCATAAAGTAAGGTCGCTGGCGTCAGTGGACAATGAAATAAAATAGTCTAAGATTCAAAGACAACTATTCCTCTGCCTCAGCCATTTCTGGCCATGCATTAATGTGGCCCCAGAATGGATGGGGGCAGAGGTCTTCGGAGAAAAGCTGAAAAAAATCCCCATCTTGAGGTCGAAAAAAAAGATTTTTTTTTTTTTTATTCCAGTGCCAGAATAGAACTTGTGGCCTCATGCATGCTAGGCAAGCGCTTTACCACTCAGTCACATCCCTGCCCTTTTTTTTTTTGAGAACTCTCATTAGATTGCTTAACAGTTTACTTAAAGAAACTGGGCTGATTAAACCCACAGGCCTCTGGTTGGCAACTCTAGGTGGAGATGAACTTCAAGGCCCTTGCAGCTCTGAGACTAAAGTTCATGACCTGTGTCTTCATTGCTGGGACACTTGGGCATTACTGTTGAGTCACCTGGTCTTGGTGCCAGGCCCAAGGAAGATAGACACAAATGGTTTGATCAAGCTTGAAGGGGTCTTTCCCACCTTTTCCTGGGCACAGCCCCTGCCCAGAAATCTGGGTCAAAACCACCCTCTCCTCTTTGGCACTGGACGGCCCCCATACCTTGCTCCCTCCACCTCCCACAGAGCCCTCACAGGTCATGGGCACACTGCAGGAATGTCCCCTCAAACCTCTGCCCAACCTCACCACCAGCTTAAGGTTCTGTCCAGAGCCCTCCTTGTCCACTGGCACCAGAACCCACACATTTGTGCCTGCCTGTTTTTAAGTCTATGGTTAAAACCTGTGCCTGGCACTGGGCAAGGCAGAGAGATCTGGAAAACAAGTGCGTTGGTGAGGCAGGAAGAGACATGGAGTTTTAAAACCCAACCTACTCTTTCAGCCTCCAGTTGCTTTCCCCACGTCCTGAGCTTGTCCTTGTTCCCTTGATCTCCTATCCCCATGCTGGCCCCTGTGACTAGGGTGCTCTTTAGGAATGACATTGCTCATGATGACGTTCCTCTTCTCCCAGGATCTCTACTGCACTGTTTTATGTGACAAGGCTCCCTGTCCACTTGAAACCTAGTGGTCCAAGTCAATGGGCTTTGGAATTGGATGGGTTTAAATTGGAACCCTGGTTCCTGCGCATGCTGACTGCAGCTGCATTACCATGTCACCTAACCCCCGAATCTCCATTTCTTCATTTGAAAAAAAAAAGGGGGGTGGGTGGGTGGGTGGGATAGTTATGCCCACTTGGGAGCTTCAAGGGTCACATTGAGAACTTAGCAGAGTACCTAACACAGGGCAGGCATAGCCATCAGTCTAACTCTGTGACTAATCATGGTTGTTTCTTACGTCAAATTTCCTGTTTAGACTAYTCAGTGTCCTACAGCAATGGCTTAGTGCTGAGAGCCATTGCCAAGTAGGAATTGTTGGGGTGCAGCGGAGCGTCGGAGGGAGAGACCACACAAGAGACTCACTTCATGCAATCGCAGGGGGGAAATTTATTAGGGATCTGTTCCAGCGCGCTGGGACTCTGTGCTCACTCAAGAAGGGAGATGAGCCCAGAGCCCAGAGCAGAGGTCAAGTGGAGCTTAAGTACACTTTTTGGAGAGGGCAGCGGGCTTTGCATACATCAGAACAAATCATCATGAGGCGCGGGAAAATTGAACAACATCTCTGAGTCATGATTAGTACATACATTGGCGGGAACAGTTTGGGCAGGGGTGATTGGTGCTCCTAGGTGGGGTACACATTCAAACTGATTGGTTTAGGTCCTGCAATGCCTACGTGCCAAGCAACTCGGAACCCTTAGCTATTAAACAACCAGAAAGTCAGTGGAAATATTTACTGGGCAGTTCCAGTATTGTCCTAACAGCTACAGGGATTACAGGTTTCGGGGGTAGCAGAGGGACTCTAACAATACCTAGTCTTTTACTTTTTAACCCAATCCCTGCACTTTGGAAACTTTAGGATGCCTGGTCTTTTACACTTTAACTCAGGCTCTGCGGCTTAGAATCAGCTTAGAAGTTTTACCTTTACAGAATGACGCATCAAAATTTCCTTGCCAGCGTACTTGACATTGCATGTATGCTTGAGAAAGGTGACCCTGCTCAAGGACCAGGGTGGATCCGGGTTTAAGGAGGATCCTACTGGATTAGGATGGATCAGGTTTTAGGGAGTATCCCGCTCCTTGGGTTTAGGGCGGTTCCAGGTTTAAGGTGTACCCTTCAGGGAATAGGGCATATCCTGCTGCCTCAGCATGCCGGATCCTTGAGTTCCCGTTGAGTTCTCGTGGGGTTGAGAAAGTATTTGGGATTCAAAGCCTGGTGGAGTATGTGAATTTGGAAGAAGAACATGAATTTCCCCAGAACGTGTTTGTAGAGGGCCGGTGTGAGTTCGGGAACAAAGAATTGCTGTTTGAATCTACAAAGCTGTGAGTGGCTTGTGATTTTGTGCCCAGCCAGACTGCGGCAGCTTAGCATCAAATTAAGTTCTAAACTCAGGCTTGGTGAGGAGGTGGGTCTCAAAGGTTGAATAATAAGAATAAGAATTCTGCTTCAAATTATTATTATTTCATAATAGGGTTTTAGGTCTCCAATGACAAAAGGACCTTGCTACTAAAAGTTTTTAAATGCCTGTTTTTTTTTTTTTTTTGGTGGTGGTGCTGGGGATAGAATCCAGGGCTCATATATGCTAGGCAAGCACTTTACCACTGAGCCACACTCCCAGTCCTAGAAAGTGCTTGATTTTTTTTTTTTTTTTTTAGATTTTTTTAAATATTTATTTATTTTTTGGCAGACACAACATCTTTGTATGTGGTGCTGAGGATCGAACCCGGGCCGCACGCATGCCAGGCGAGCGCGCTACCGCTTGAGCCACATCCCCAGCCCCAAAAAGTGCTTGATTTTGAAACTATTTGGGCCCTCAAAGAATCCAGATGGAGGTGAGGGGGACTCATGGGAGAAAAGGAACGCAGGAGTGAATGAGTGAGCTGTGACCTGGAGCTGGTTAGTGTGGCAAGGCTAAAAGCCCAGCCCTTGTTACTGTTATCATCAGAACAGGTTTGGAGGCTGCAGGGGAAGAACACAGTCCATATCTGGGAAGAAAGAAAGGGCTCCTAGTCTCCAATGTTTATTTTGGCCCAGATACTTCCTCACCAGACTCACAACCCAGGGGTTGATCCCTCCAGGCGGTCAAGGGCAGGCAGGACATGGGACAGTGATGGAAGAATATGTTCTTCAGGTACAGAAGCCCTGATGGCAGGGTCCAGAGGCTCTGGGCCAACCACCAGAAAGCTGTGCATGCCTATAGCCCGAGGCCCCTGGTAATCACAGAGGTAATTGTCCCCAATATGGGCTGCTACTGCTGGTTGCATGTGAGCAAGCCGCAAGGCCTCAAGGAAAATGCGGGGATCTGGCTTGGGGCAGCCAGCAGCTTCAGAAGTCAACACAAAGTCAAAGTGTTCCCGCAGGCCAAGACCTACCAGGATGTCCTGTAGCCGGTGGTCAAAGTTGGAGACTGCTGCCAGCTTCAGACCCCGCTTGCAGCACCCTCTCAGGGTGTTCTCAGCTCCATCCAATATCTGCCAGTTGTAGGGGTGTTTGAAGTCTTCATATAGCTCATCAGCGATGGGGGCCACAGCTTGGGCATCCCGGACACCTGCCAGGTGGAAGGTCTGCAGGATCACATCCAGCCACCACTGACGGGAGGTGAGGCCATGGCTCATGCCGTAGTTAGGGAAGCTGTGGTTCTGAGCCTTGAACACCTGGCTGAAGGCTTGTCCCAGTGTTGTGGCCTCCACCTCCAGCCCATGGGCCCGGGCCTTGGTGGCATACTCCTCCCCTACAGGACGCCGAAGCCTGAGCAGTGTGTCCTTCACATCCCATGTCAGGAGACGTAGCTGCAGCCGGTGTGCCATGGAGAAGGACAAGTCCACCTTGGGTCCCACAGTCCAGGAAGATAATGAGCTGGACAAGACTACCCCTCCACAACCTAACAGTCTTTTCTTTCCCGGCCTGTGGGTCAGATTTTCTGCTTGACCTAAGGCACTTTGGAAACGTCTTCACAGCATAAGATCCTAGAATGAGAAATAGCAGGTGAGGTTGAAGTCAAGGCCCTGCTGTTAGAGACATTGGTTTCACATCAGTGCTGCCAATGTGTGACCCTAGGAAAGTCACTCTGAATCCCTGTCTCATGTGTAAGAGGAACACAATGACATTAACCTTACAAAATCTTGGGCTAAATGAGAGTGTATATCACATTCATCCCAAAACAAACTTTCAGGTACATCTTTGAGCTAGATGCTGGGCAATAGGACAGGTTTCCTGCCTTTGTGGCATTTATAGGCACTAAAGAAGAGGGGATACAGGGCAGCTGCAGTGGTGCATGCTTGTAATACCAGCTAGTTGGGAGATTGAGGCAGGAGGATTACAAGTTTGAGGTCCTTAGTGGGACTTTGTCTCAAAAAAAAGAAAAAAAAAAGGCCTGGGCATACGCCTCAGTAGTAGAGTGCTTGTTACCTAGCCATGCAAGGACCTAGGTTCCATTCCCAGTACTGGGGGGAAAAAAGAATAGGGGCCTCAGATATTAGACAAAGAAGTACACAAGCACTTAATGAAGCATAATGAAGTCAGTATGTACGTACCATGGGGACATAAATTCAGAGACCCAAACTGATGTTAGTTGGGCCCTCAGGGAATATGGATGGAGGTGAGGGGGACTCATGGTAGAAAAGGAACACAGGTATAATGTGTGAGCTCAGAGACCTAGAGCAGGTCAATGTGGCAAGGTTAAAAGCCCAGCCCTCATTGCTGTATCACTAGAACAGGTTTGGGAGGGGCACAGATCACATTGGGGAAGAAAACYCCTAGTCTTTGAAGTAGGGAGCATCCTAAGAAAGTGATATTTTGGTGAAGATCTGAAGAGCAAATGTGCAGGAAGTGGAGGTGGTTAAGTGTTCCTGGCAGTAGAAATGACAAGTGCAATAAAAGAGTCTGGTACTTACAAAGATTGTCCACCTAAGGCAAGGTCTTACAGATCAAAGTAAGGAAACAATTATGATCTTTATTAACGTTACTACCAATGTTCAAAGACAGAAGGGCCCTTTCAGACCATCTGACCAACATCCTGGCTGCTGAGCGGAGAAGACTGAGTCAGAGGGACAGTTACCAGCCTAAGGTCCCAGTAAGCCAATAAACACTGTCAGGACTAGAACCCAAACTTCTAGAACCTCTGGTGAGTGCTCCCTTCCTCTGCAGGATGCTTGGACACATTTGGATCTTAAAAAGCACTTCATTCTGGTGAACTTGTATATCACAGGACACCAGGACAGAGTAGCCTGCTTCTATCCTTAACCCTTCCTGAGCCTGGTTTCTGCATCCTTCCTTCATCCTGCCTAGGCTCAGCCATGAAAAAATTACTGACTAAAAGCATAGGAAATGCATTTGTCAGGCTGGTGAACAGGGGCTGCAAGCAGCTTCTTTCCTAAACAGAGCTGATTCCAGATATGCTATTCAGTTGAATCCAAGGGGTSAGAGTTCACAGAGCAATCAAGCTGTCGCTGAAGGAGGGGCACACTGGTGAATCTGGGGATCAGTCTTCAAGAAAGTGAGACAAGGAAGTGGATTTGTCTGCCAGGAGCTTGGAGAGACCYACTCAAAGAGCCTCTCATTTTGCAGGTGGGCAGATGGAGGCCCAGTGAGGGGCGGGAACTTGTCCMGAATAGCACAGGGCGCCATTAGCTCAGCTAAGACCGGAACCAGAACGATATACAGAGTTTTCCATTTTTGGAATCTGGGGCTGGGGGCTCTGGGCTACAGGCGGAATGGTTCACCCTCCCTCCCTTCCTCCGGGGCTCGGTGGAGCAACGTCCAGGTGCCGGGAGTTCAAGCAAAATCTACCCGGCTGCAGTGCGTGTGCTGCGTGGCCCGGAGCGCGAGAGTCCCAGGGTCCGCGACTAGGCCTGGGTCCCCTTCCCGGTTCCAGTGCGCTCCCTCGGCTCGGCGCCTATCCCGGGGCCCAGCACCTACCTGCTCGCAGAGAAGGTGGCCAGAGGGCCGCTGCAGATCCTCCCGGCTCGGCTACGCTTACAGCTCGCAGCCGCTCCGCGGACTTCAAGCTCCCGCCCCGCCCTTCGCCCCGCCCCTCGCCCCGCCCTCCTCCTCTCGCCCCGCCTCTTCGTCCCGCCCTCCTCTCGTCAACCCTGGCGGCGCTCCGCGAGTCACCTGTTCTTGCTGCGCCCCTCCACCCCCCTTTAGTCACTTTGCACCCGCCCCGCCCCTTCGTCCCCTCCCAGCACCTCCTTGGCTTCCTATCCCGCGCTCTTCCGCCTCCAGCCCGCGTCTCACCGTCACCGTGCACCCTTTCGTTCTCTCTGCGCTGCCACCCTGAGGGTGGGTAGAGTCCTCCACAGTAACCTAGAGGCTTTAAAAAATTCTTTCGAGAAAAAGAAAGAAAGAAAGAAAAGACTTGATTTTGCAAAAGTAGTGCGTTGTCATTTCAAAAAACTTGACATTCATTCACCAGCTGCTTAGTAAACCTGTGCCTGCTCTGTGCCTGCGCAGGTCCTCACTGAGGATGCATTGGGAAACAAGAGGCTTCCTGCCYGCCGGGATCATGGGAGGGACAGACAAAAATCAAGTAAACAAACAAGACGTGTTGAGAGAGTAGTAAGTGCGGTGGAGGCTCAGGGGTGAGAGGGGTGGGGAGGAAAGAAGGGCTCCCCCACTCCACACCTCATTCTTCTTTCCTCCCCTCCACTCCTCTTTAAAGAAACTTTCGGTATCTCAAGGCTGATTTGTTTGCTTGTTCAGAACCAACTCACCCTCACGCTAGGTTGAGGGCCTGGGAGGAAGCCAAGTGTAGCGTCAGAGCTGGGGCCTGGGATTCCAGGGACTTACCTGCAAAACAGGTTTTGTGTCACAAATATGATTCCCAGATGTGGGGTTGGGAAGGGTGATAAGGAAGTCAGAGGTATACCTTTGTTTCACAGAATCAAGGAATGCCTGAGGTTACCCACTGTTCAAGGTCACCTAAAACCTAAGCAGACCCTTAAGTTCAGGTTCCAACTCTGCTATCTGACCCTCTGTGAGCCCTCTGCTCAATTCTTTTCCTCTCTGGGCCTCGGTCTCCCAATATGCAAAATGGGGGGGAGGGGTTGGACAAAATAACTTCCAATTAATGTCCAGACTATCTTTGAAGTTGATTTCTAAGATCATTAACTTTGCCCATGGAACCTCAGTTTCTCCATATGTAAACAGGGCATAGTAATGTCTACAGCAGAGTTGAATGAGATCACCTGGAAAAGTTCTTTGAGAAGTAAAAGATGATTTTTTTTCAGATGAGTAAGTTGAGAGCCCCACATACCATTGTAACCTAGGGCCACTCATTGCACACCTCCAGAAAATGGCATTTCCATTTCATTGTGAATATGCCCCCTGCAGTCATGGCCCCAACTTAACTGTTAGTCCTCTGGGATCTGCTTTGCTCTGGGTAACTTCATCAGTGGAGAGCGAGGAATCTTACATCAGGGGAAAGCCAGCGACAGGTCCCTCATACACTGGAACAAGCTTTGTTTTGATTTGCACGTTTAAAACTGGATATATTTAATCGATATTTTCCTGCATCAGTTAGATCACAGGAATCCTCTAATGATTTCATCCATTGACCTTATTTTTGGTCTGGTGACTGCTTCTGGGGACACCTGGCATGTTATACTATATACTGGATGCCAGTTTATTCTCTTTGGAAAGCCAAGGGGTTTTTGTTGTTGTTGTTTTGTTTTTGTGAGAGCTTTTTCCTTGACATTCTCCTATTGAAAGCACTATATAAATCCAGGTTGGGCCAACTAGGTACATGTCTCTCTTTACTTTTAATTTTTCACTTACTTTTCTTCCTTTTTTTTTTTCAATGCTAGGGATAGAAGTCAGGGCTTTGTGCATACAGGAAAAGCACTCTGCGATTAAATTACACCCTCAGATCTCATTTATTTATTATTTAATTTTTTAAAAAGTATTTATTTTTTAGTTGTAGTTGGACACAATACCTTTATTTATTTATTTATTTTCATGTGGTGCTGAGGATCAAAACCCAGGGCCTCGAACATGCTAGGCAAACGCTCTACTGCTAAGCCACAACCCCAACCCTATTATTTAATTTTTTAATTAAGATACCCAGAGAGAGCTGGTGTAATGGTGCATGCCTGTAATCCCAGCTACTTGGGAGGCTGAGGCTGCAGGATCATAAGTTTGAGGTCAACTTGGACCAACAGTCTCAAAAAATAAAAGATCTGAAGATGTAGCTGGAGATGTGGTTGAGTACCCCTGAGTTCAATCCCTAGTCGAGTACCCCTGAGTTCAATCCCCAGTGCTGCAAACAGAAAAAAAAGGCAAAGAAGTGTGCATGTCTTTGAATTTTCACAAATTTTGAATTTTCACTGGTGCAACCACCACCTGGTGCAAGCAAAAGAATATTTTTAGAACTCTAGAGCCCATCTGCTTGCAGTCACTTACCCCCACAGAAAATAATGATTCTGACTTCTAATTGCATGGTTTAACTTTTTTGAATCTTACACAAGGGAACGGCACAGCATGTATTCTTTTGCATCTTGTTCCTTTCATTCAAAATTTTGTTGGTATTACAGTTGAGAACCAGAATGTCCCCCAAAGGTTCATGTGTTAAAGGATTGGTCAGCAGCCTGTGGTGCCGTCAGGAGGTGGCAGAAACTCTAGGAGGTGGGGCCTAGTGGAGGTCATTGAGACATGCCTGTGGACTGGATATTGGGATCCCCACTCCTTCCTCTGGTTGCCGTGCACTTCTGCCATGATGTACAGCCTCACCAAAGCTCCAAAAGCAACTGAGTCAAATGACCATGGACTGAAACCTCTTAAACTGTGAGCCAAAATAAACCTTTTCTCTTTTAAGTTGATCATCTCAGATATTTTGTCACAACTGAGTAACAGTAGATTCAACCACGTTGTCATGTAAAGGTGTAGTTCATTCTCATTCCTGTCCTATTCCATCTCATGGTTGATGAACATTTGGGTTATCTCCAGGTTTTATTTATTACACATATTACAAAATGTTGCTATGAACATGTCTCTTGGTGAATGTAAGTATATGTTGTTTTGTTTTGCAGTGCCGAGGACTGAACCCAGAGCTGGGCACATACTAGGCAAGTATTTTTCCACCTAGCTACATCCACATCCCAGTTATATATTTCTGATGGGTAAGTACCCAATGTGGATCCACTAGTGTATAAGGTATGCATATGTTCAGCTTCAGAAGAGAGGGCCAGTTTTCTGAAGTGATTGTGACAGTAATATCTGAGAGTTCTAGTCCTTCCACATTCTCAACAATTGGCACAGTCAATCTTTTTAATAGGTATGGTGGTATCTCAAGGATTTAACTTGAATTCCTCCACCAATTAATGAAGTTAATACCTTTTCATATATCTATTAGCCAAGTTTTCATTTATTCTTATTTGCACAACTATACACGAATGTATCCTTGATTACAGAGCTCATATGTATAAAGTCCCTCTAAAACCAAATTCTCACCCCGTCTCTCCACAAGTCCTTCCCGTTTTGAACTCTGGGCTTGGAATTAGGAGGCTATTGTCTTGTTGTGTGTGTGTGTGTGTGTTTGTGGTGCTGGGAATTGAACCCAGGGCCTTGTGCATGTTTCTGTGTGATTTTTGGACAAGTCTCTTCTCTGGGTCTGTCTCCCCATCTATAACTGTTAAACTAAGTGATCTCCAAGGGCCTAATATTCTCAATCTTCTGTGATTCCAAGAAACTTCATGTGGTAGAGATGACCACTGTCTCCAGGATCCATTCTTTCTATCTTCCTTCCTCTGGAACCCTGAGTTTTAGCTGAGCATATGCCCCCTCCCCCCAACAATGGTGTGTGGACAGAAATGATGTAACTTCTAGATCCTGCCTGTACAAAGAAGGGTCATGATCTACTACTGCCCTCTCTTCCTGTTGGCTAAGAGGACCTGACGGTAGGAAACTGGAGTTGCCACTTTGATCACAAGATGGAAACCAGGATGTGTTGAGGATGAAAGAGGTAGAAGCCGAGACACCCCACCACTCCTACACCTTGCAGCTGACACACTTAGAGAGATGTAAATTTCTATCTTTTTTTTTTTTTTTTTTTACATTTATTTATTTTTTTTCAGTTCTCGGCAGACACAACATCTTTGTTGGTATGTGGTGCTGAGGATCGAACCCGGGCCGCACGCATGCCAGGCGAGCGCGCTACCGCTTGAGCCACATCCCCAGCCCCGTAAATTTCTATCTTAAGCCATTGTTAGTTTGGCTTTTTTCATACCCACTGATCCTGAATCCTGAAATGAAGAGAATGACGGGGTCAGATTTCTTTAAGGAACTGAGATCTTAACAACATAAAAGGAGACAGCCATACAGATTGTGGGCCGAATGTTCCAGGCAAAGGAACCATCTGTACAAAAGCTCTGTGTCCTGGCCAGCCTCTGTGACCTGAGGCAGACCTGGCCAAGGTGGTGCTCAGTTTTAGCAACTGAGCCAAGAGGTGGTTCTTGTGACCCTAGCAGGACCAATCAGATATTTTCAGATATTGATTTGCTATGTAACTGAGAGACAGAAAGGATCTTTCTCTGGGATTATAAATCTTTTTTTAATATTTATTTTCTAATTGTAGTTGGACACAATACCTTTATTTTATTTATTTTTATATGGTGCTGAGGATGGAACCCAGGGCCTTACATGTGCTAGGCGAGTGCTCTACTGCTGAGCCACGACCCCAGTCCTGRGATTCTAAATCTTAACGACCACTTAAACCTAGAGTTACTGGGGATCAAAGTCTTTGACTCAGGCTCCACCCACATTTGAACTTCTCAGGGCCCTGTTATGTAAATCAGCTGGCTCATTTTTTTTTTTTCATTCCTGAAATGGGTTTCGGTCACTTGCAACCAAGAGCTTCTGGGACAATCCAGGGCTTGGTCTGCTGCAAATCATAGGCTCTGATGTTTGGAATTGGGGCTCAGAGCAGGGAGCAGTTAGGATTCCCCATTCCCTGTGTGGACAGTTGGTGATCTCTGCTTTTAGGTAGTGAATTGGCTGATTAAAAAGCCTGTTGAAGGGACAAGCCACAGTCTAAGCTGGCACATAGGACAGGGAAACAAGAAAATCAAGTCTCACTAAGAAAGGCCCTTAGCACTCAACAACTCAGTGGTGATGYCTAGAGGTCAGATCATGTGTCATGCCAGGCTATGAAAACTGAGTCCTCTGTCCAGGGATAAAATTACTTCTAGCAAGGGCAGGTCATTCTTCTTCTGTACTTCCTGGTGCTCTAGCCACACCAGCCCTATGCTCCTCCAGTTCCTTCTAGCCCCAGGGCCTTTGCACCACCATCCTTTCTGCCTGAAATGCTGTTGTCCAAGCATAGCTTGGTCACTCATCCAAATGTCAGTCTTTCAATGAAACATTTTCCGATCCTCCAAAGCAGGTCAGGTCCTATGGCCTCTTTCACATCACCTATCAAGTCACTGGTAGATCTGCTTCCTGGTTCTCAGGGATATTCATCCTCATTTGGTGCAGTGTTTACCATGTGCTCCCCAAGTGGTCTGGCCACACATTTGTCTGCCTACTTTGAACTATTTATACCTAAAGGACACCATCTGTCCCCCATCTCTCTGTGCCTAGAACCAAGCCAGGCTCTATACTTGCTTAGCAGTGAGGAGTCTGAGATGGCTCGACAAACCTTCGCTTCCACATCAATCATTTTAACCAGAAATGAGCTCAGGGGCCAGGAGGCAGGAGGCCCAGCAGCTAAGACACCTAGAGGTTCTGGTCTGGTCTGTCTCTGGCCCAGCAATGACTAGTCTCCCAGTTGGTGATGCAGGTCCTATGTCGTAGGTACAGGTGCGGGCTCAGGCTCCTGGAAGAAGCTTTGGGAGTCTTCAAGCTCTGATCTTGGCTGGCCACCTTTCAGAAGGTGAGAACAGGGTGAGATGAGGCCTTAATAAGGTGAGCCAACCACAGCTCTGATGAAGGACACCAAGAGGTGGAAGGGACTGGATTGTCTGTAGGAGCTGCCAGGAGTTTATAATTCTAAATGAATGTATTTATTCTACATTAAAAATGGGCTGTACTGCCAGGTTGGTGGTGTATGGCTGTAATCCCAAATGAGGAGGCTGAGGCAGGAGGATCCCAAGTTGGAGGACAGTCTCAGCAACTTAGTGAGATCTTGTCTCAAAATTAAAAAACTTAAGAAGGGCTGGGGTTACAGATTAGTGGTAAAGTGCCTGTGGGCTCAATTCCTAATACAGGGGCGGAGAAGGACTGTACTGTTTTGGGGTCTGAATTGACCTTGTTTTGGCCCTAGATGGGGATTCCCTATCCCTTTGCAGATGGGCAAGTAGACTTGCAAAATGGATTCTCCTTAACTGGGCCTTAACTTTCATTGGGAGGAGACTCATTGTCAGTCTTAAAATGACTACAAGCGCTTGTGAAGTTGCTAGAGCCAGAAACCCATGAAGGCATCCTTGTTTCCTTCTCCACAGTGATTTAAAGCATTGGCAAAATTTGCTAAGTGGTGTAGTTCAATGGTAGAGGTTCTTGGCTAGCATGCATGAGRCCCTGGCTTAACCCCCAGCACAGGGTGGGGTGGGAGGAGAACAGATTGTGGGCGGAATGTTCCAGGCAAAGGAACCATCTGTACAAAAGCTCTGTGTCCTGGCCAGCCTCTGTGACCTGAGGCAGACCTGGCCAAGGTGGTGCTCAGTTTTAGCAACTGAGCCAAGAGGTGGTTCTTGTAAAGTGCAGTGGGCTGCACTTTAAATACAAAATAAAATCTAAGCTCATTACCAGATGTGGGATTTGGCCTTTCTACCCATATGCCTCTTCCTCACCTTCTCCAAAGCCCTGTTGAGCTCCTCCCACCACAGGGTCATGGTACATACCATCTTCTCTTCTTTGTTCTTGTGACCTGCATCTTTGTAAGGGTCTTTTCTTGTCCCTCTCAGGCTTTTTTTTTTTTGTACTAGGAATTGAACTCAGGGGTGCTGCACCACAAAGCCACATCCCCAGCCCTTTTTTTATATTTTATTTAGAGACAGGTTCTTACTGAGTTGCTAGTGCCTCCCAAAATTGCCAAGGCTGGCTTTGAACTTGTGATCCTCCTATCTCGGCCTCCTGAGTGGCTGGAATTATAGGCATGCGCCACCACGCCCAGCTTCCCTCTCAGTCTTAGCCTCAGAGAGGGTCTCTAGACCATGCTCTGAAGAGGGTCCTACCCCTTACTCTCTGAGACCCTTTCCTTCTTTCAAAGCACTTATCACAGTTTGTAACCACTTTGTCCCTTTTCTTCTTAACTGTCTTCCTTACTCTCTATACAATTTCCAGAAGGAGCCAGGCTGTGGCCTGTCCTACTGTCTCCCTGGCACCCAGTGCCTGGTCATAGAGCAGAGGTTCTCAAGAACKATCCTGTGCCTGGAAAGCCTGTGGTGGTGGCGCTCCAGCAGTCAGGAACTCTCCCTTTGCTTCTGGAGTTTGGTCCTCATTCACCCGTCATTCTTCCTCAGGTCTAGGCTGAAGAGAACAGGGGCTCCCAGGCAGCCTGGCGACCACTGGCCTGTGTGGAACCAAAGCCCGGCTCAGATCCACCCCCAGGGTTGTCACGCTGGGCCTCAGGCCCAGCACTCAGCTCCACTGCTGGAGGCCCAGGCTTTCCTGAGCTTCTTGGGATCCAAAGTCCAACTGCTCTCCTCTTGCCTCGTGCTCCAAGCCCCTCTCCCAGGCCCCACCACGCCTGCCCTGGGGAACTCTTGGTTGCTGTCAAGCTGAAGCYACACCTGAGGAGAGAGCTGGGGGTGGAAAACTTGAGCCTCAGGCTGAGCTTGGGCAGGGGCAGGAAGCTCGGAGAGCCCATGAGGCTGTGACCAGGATTGGTAAGATTCAGCGAGTTGGCAAAAGCCAGCCAGGGCGCTGGGCCCCTGCAGGCATGTAAGCAGGAAGCGGGCACAGGGCACAGTTCTAAAAGCAGCCTTTACTTTGGTTTTCACTTCTCCAAGGCCCTGGGAGCCTTCTCAAGTTCTAGATCTTGGGTCCTGCACACTGGTTACTCACTCCTTCAGCCACTGCAGGAGCTGAGGTGTGTAGTAGGTGATGATGATGTCAGCACCTGTGTCAGGGAGAGGCGGGAAGAGGGGCGGGGCATGGCATCAGTATAGCCTGTGGGTCACAGCACAGGACTGGGCCCACTTCAGTCAGCTCCAGACCCTGGGTGAGTCACTTTCTCTTTCTGGGCCTCCTGTGAAATGCACAGCTGGGGAAGTAGGTAACTGCAAGCCCCCTTCCCGGGCTGGGATGGAGACATCAAGGCCAGCGCTCCAATGGGCTGGAACACAAGCACTCTGTTTCCTAGCCAGTGACCTTTCACTCCTTGCCACATCACCCTGAGCACCTGGAAGGGGCTGACTGAGCCTCTACCCCATTGTCTCCCACARGTCCTAGTGATGAGCTAGAGTGCTAAATCTGCTTCCTGTTTCACCAGACCTTTCTGGTGAGTGGGGTGGGCAGGGTTCTGCTGTTAAACCCCTGGCCCATTGGCCCACAGCTGGAGCCCATCCTAATGACCAGGATAGTGTGCTATACTAACAAAACCCGTTCCCATTATGGAGTAACAGGCATATGCTAATTGAACATATTATCTCATTTCATCCTCAGGACAACCAGGCGCCAGCTATCTTATCCCTAGCTTACAGATAAGGACCTTGGGATTGAGAGAGCGTCTTGTCCAAGTTTTCATCACCAGAAAGCAATAGAGGGCTCTGTTTTCTTCATTGTCCCATGTTCTGTTCTGTCCTTCCACCCCCTTTCCTCAGTCCGTCTATTTGTTTTTTTTGGGGGGTGGGGAAGAGGATAGTGGTGCCCAGGGGCTYTTTACTACTGAACTACATTCCTAGTCCTTTTTATTTTGAGACAGGGTCTTGCTAAATTGCTGAGGCCAGCCTTGAACTTGCAATCCTCCTCCCTCAGCCTACCAAGTAGCTGGGATTACAAGCGTGTGCCACCACGCCTGGACTTTGTCTCTTTAGATACCTGTGTTTACAAGCATAAGAGTCCAGGCTGTCTCGTGACATCGTTTCCCTATCTGGACAAAGTGCCGGTCAGTCTCTGGGGCACAGGTCACAACCCCCACCTTCTCTGTTCTGCACTTACCTGCTCTGCGGAAGGCTGTCATGGCCTCCAACACGGCAGCCTTGAGATCAAATGCCCCAGCCCGGGCTCCGTGCCACAGCATGGCGAACTCCCCAGACACGTGGTACACAGCGAGGGGGAGCTGGGGGTGCTGTGGAGAAGCAGCCATGGGAACGGGGTTGAGGTGGGGGGCAGCTGTGCTCTGGAGTGTCCCTCCCTCCCTGCCCAGTCTGTGACCACCTTGAGCTCTATTCTGAGTCTGTGCTCCTGGCAGCCCAGTCTGATCTAGAGCTGTCCTTCCAGAGCCGTTCATAGGCTCCTGTGAACCCCGGCACAGAGGCCGTGCTGGTTCTGGGCAGGAATGGGAAGAGAGGCCTCCGGCTCAGGTGCAGACTGCTTCTAGCTCTAAGATGCCAGAGTCCCTCAATCCAAGGTCCCAGCGTCTGGGGACTCTCCCAATCTCTGAGTCCTCAAGTCTGCTCTGTGCTCACCTTGTCCTTCACCTCCCGCACGATGTCCAGGTAGGGCATCCCCGGCTTCACCATGAGCATGTCGGCTCCTTCCCGTACGTCCCGGTCCTAAGGGAAGAGGGTAAAGTGTCTTGGAAAAGGAGAGGCAGGAAGGGTGTGTGTGTGTGTGTGTGTGTGTGTGTGTGTGTGTCTCAAGCCTAAGCCTGGTCACTTACCACTGCTCGGAGGGCCAGGCCCCGGGCTCCAGGGGGCAGCTGGTAGCAGCGGCGGTCTCCAAAAGCTGGGCTTGACTGAGCAGCGTCCCTGCAGAGCACAGTCACCCTGTGAGCACTAGCTGTGGGCTACGGGTCCGGGGTTAACAGCAGAAGCCTGCCCACCCCACTCACCGGAAAGGCCCATAGAAACAGGAAGCAAATTTGGCACTGTAGCTCATCACTGATACCTATGGAGACAATGCGGTGAGGCCCAGGCAGCCCTTTCCAGGTGCTCTGGGGTGAAGTGACAGAGTGGAAGGCCTGAGGCTAAGAAGAGGCGTGCCTGAGTTCTAATCCCATTGGAACACTGGGTCTTGATCGCCCCATCCGAGGTGCAGAGGCTGAGATGGACCCCAAAGGTCTAATCCAGTGTTGTCCTCTGCTCTGTGATTCTAGGCTCATGGACACAGGGCTGTCCAGGCTCTCTCCACCCTGCCGCCCTCCCACTGCACTCCCGGCACATACCCTGTTGCCAAGTCCATGTGCCAGCAGGGCGTCCTTGATGGCTTCCACTCGTCCGTCCATCATGTCCGACGGTGCTACTACCTGACATCCTGAGGGACAGAGGGTGGTCTTCAGAACTCTGGGACCCTCTATCCACTCTGCCAGCTCCCCGACCCACAGGTGTCCACCCCTGCTGGGGACTCACTCACCTGCCTTGGCATAGGCCAGTGCCACCTCTGCCAGTCGCTGGCGGCTTTCCTCGGCCTTGAATGCTCCATTCTCACTCAGGAGCCCTGCAGGACAAGATGGCAGGGTTGGGGGAGTGCCTTGGCTCTTGGCCTGTGTCCACCCTGGGGAGAACTGGGCAGTGGGTGTGGGTGGCAGCAGGGTTGGTGGGAGGGAGGAAGCTCACCACAGTGACCATGGGAGGTGTAGGGGCACAGGCAGACGTCACAGGCCACCAAGAGGCTGGGGAAGGTCTTTCTCAACAGACGGACTGCCTCGATAGTTGGGGACTCCTCGGAGTCGGCTGCAGAGCCCCTCTCATCCTAGGGGCAGGGGAAGAACAAAGCGATGTGTCTGTCACATGAAGCCCTTGGGGGGACAGGGCAGCCAGCCATTGCAGAGCGCAGCCCCGGCCCTCGCTTTCTGTCACGGTCACAGCCCCTGGATCAGGAAGCACTGAGGACTGTGCCCACTGCAGAGGAAACAGGGACCTAGAGAGGGACCTGACTTAYCCTGTCAGGGTGCCAGGTACTTAGCTTCCTGACCCCTAGGAGTACTATCTTAAGGGCTGGGACGATGGCCATTCACTCCTGTCCCCACCCTCGCCCCACCTCTTTTCTTAACTCTTCCTCCAATTCTTCACCTTGGGGACTCTGCTGGGGACACCAAAGACGAGGACACAGCGCAGGCCCTCTTCCACCAGGGGCTTCAGCATCTCTTCCAGCCGGTTCACACCATACCTGGGAGGGGATGGGAGGGACTGAGGGGGGCCAGTTCTGGTGGCACCAGGAGGGTGCCAGCCCCTAGGACAGGGCTGGGAAGGAATGCACCCACCAAACAGGTGGGGAAATCAAACCCCAAATATCAGAGCTGTGGAATCAGCTGCAGCAGCTTCTCCGAGGTGGTCTAACTGAACTCCTTTCTCAAGTTCAGCTCCGCATGCAACAACCTCGCCGAGGGCTCCTGGTGAAACTTGTCACTTCACGAGGCTGCCCCTTAACTGTGCACAGCTGTGGCCCCAGGGAAGCCCTTTTCTCCACTGAGCTGCAGTTTGTGTCTCTGGATCTTCTACCTCTGGGGTCTACTTCTGCCTCCGGGCACCTCCCCCTGCAAAATTTCTCCCACCATCATCCCCTTGCCCTCTCCAGCATGCCTCMTACCTGGCCACTCCTGGCAGGCTGGCAATAGGTTGTACGTCATCAGGAACATCCCTGTAAGAGCAGGGGGTGGGCTATGGATTGGTGGCTGTGGGAAGGGCAGGTGGTGGCGGGGTGACTGGGAGGGATGGTTGGGAAGCTGGGAAGGAATGTGGGAATGGAGATGGAGGGAGGGGGATGGGGTCCAGTGTCTGGCTCCCCTGGCCTGAAATAATAATAGGAACAAGAATAACAGTGACAATAAAAGCAAGTGTACTAGAAGAACAGTAATGCGTCAAAGGAAGGAATCAAGTGGTTAAGAATGTGGACTCTGACATCAGAAGTCCTTACTTCCTCTTCTAGTCACTTTCTGACTGGGTGATCTTGGCCAAGTTACATCATTCCTTTGAGCCTCAGGCCCTTCATCCAGAGCCTGGATGGGATCAATTCCTTCATTCAATAAAAATTTACTGAGCACTTATTTTTTAAAAAATACTTACTTATTTTTTTAGTTGGACACAATATCTTTATTTATTTATTTTCATGTGGTGCTGAGGATCGAACCCAGGGCCTCGCATGTACTAGGCGAGTGCTCTACTGCTGAGCCACAACCCCAGCCCCAACTGAGCACTTATTATGTGTCCGGTACTGGTCTAGGTGCTGGTAATACAACAGTGAACAGAACAGGCAAAAATCCCTGTCCTCATGGAGTTGACCCTGTTRGAGAAAATGTCTATTCCTTCTTCATACAAATGCTGTCAGGACTGAACAGATCATGTATGTAGGTTGCTCGCATAGTACCTTGTACACAGTAGGTCTGCTGTTGCTTTATTAATAATCATGATTGCATGATTATTATTCATAAGCCCCTCTTATGAGGATATAGCACTTTACAGCTGACAGAGCCTTCTACGTTTCTATTGTATTCCAAAGATTCAGGATGGCAGGCAAGAGTAGTTATTCTTATTTTACAAATGGGAGAACTGAGGTCTTGTCAAGGTTTGTGCCATTCTTAAGACTTCTTATCCCAGTTGGCCACTTCTAATACCCTGAGTTTCCAGCTGACAGCCCATTTCCCACCCCCCTATGGTATTGGGGACTGAATCCAGGGCCTTGCTTATGCTAGGCAAGCAATCTACCGCTGAGCTACACCCACAGCCCTTTTTATTTTTTATTTTGAGTCAGGGTGTTGTTAAATTGCCCAGGTTGGCCTGGAACTTGTGATCCTCTTGCCTCAGCTTCCTCAGTAACTGGGATTACAGGCACGTGTCACCATGCCTGGCTGCCCAGTTTACACCTCCCCCCACCAGCAATACTGATGCCTGGACCAGTCACACACCTGCCCCCACCATGGACAGATCAAAGGCCTGGCCCATTCCTGGGKACTCACGTGACAAAGATGGGGTAAATGAAGTTGGAAGCACTGAGGGTGGTGGCGGCTGTCTGCCAGGTCCGAAGCAGGGGGTGGAAGTAGCCACTGTGCAGAACAGACTGGGGCTGCATGGTGGGGGCCAGAGGCCAGCCAGCTAGTTCTTGGGGTGTCTGCTGCGTGCTGAGCTCTGAAAGGGGCAACAGGAGGCACTTGAAATATGGTCTCCGACCCTGAGAGACGGTCCCATCTGAAAGGCAGCTCTACCAGCTTCCTGCCGCCCCTCTCTCTAGCCTAGTGGGGTCCACCAATCCCTGCTGGGCTCGAGGTAAAGACAAAAAAATGAACGTAAGTCTTTAGAAACTTCATAGCAAATTGAATCCAATGAAGAAACTTTTGAGTTTGTTGTATATGTGACTGCTATTTAAAAAAAAATAAGTTTCTGGTTATTAATTTTTAGCATATTTTATCAAACAACCAATGGGCTGGAAATTAAAAAAAGAAAGACAAAACAGAACTAATCCCTCCCTAGGCATACTTGGAGAAGCACTGATCCAGACAACATTTCCCTGCACAATGCCCACGCTCACAGTAGAAATTTTAGAAGAGTACAGATAAGTCAAAAGAGAAGAATTCCCTATAATTCCACCTCAAGTGAAGTGCAGGTAATACCTTGCCATGGGGACTTCTGGTTATGCAGGACACATGGGCTCCTGCACCCTCCCCCAATGGGGTGACCATTAAGGCTGTCTCCCAGCCAAGGAGACTCCGGCACTTTCCTGCTTTGTGGTGGCACCTTGTCCCTCTGAGAAGGCTTGTGCAATCTCCAGGGCCCTGCCACGCCCACATCCACAGGCCTCTCCTCCCCTACCCGGGAGAGGCTTTCTTCTTGTTCTTCTTGCAACCTCTCTTACATAAGAGTTTTTTGATGATCTGTCTCATCTTGTGCCAATAACTTCTGCGGGGCAGGGTCCAGGGTTAGTTTATTTTCCCCTGCCCCCTCACACTCTGCCCACCCGTGGACTCTGGCACAGAGCAAGTATTTAATTACATTACGTRCAAGATATTATGCCCGGGCCGGGGATGTGGCTCAAGCGGTAGCGCGCTCGCCTGGCATGCGTGCGGCCCGGGTTCGATCCTCAGCACCACATACAAACTAAGATGTTGTGTCCACCAAATACTAAAAAATAAATATTAAAATTCTCTCTCTCTCTCTCCCTCTTTAAAAAAAGAAAAAAAAGATATTATGCCCTCCATGCCAGAGAGATGATATGAGGCAGGAAGAAGCGGGGCATTCACATGTTTCTTGAGCACTTACTGTGTGCCAGGCCACGCTGGACTCTCCCATAGGTGACCTCTCCTTGAGTTTGCATGTCAGTCCAGGGAGGCACGGTTGATGGASTGCACTTCAGAGAAGGAGCCCTGCCACAAAGGAGTCATGGTTTCTATGTGGGTTAGAGAGCAGAAGAAGCTACTGGAAGACCAGGGCTTGAACTCAGTTTTGCAGGGTAAGTGGGTTCAGCTTAGGAGGGAAAGGTACAGCTCTCCCTTGGGAAGGGAAAAAGGGCAAAGCTGGGGTTGGAGGATAGCTGTGGACTGTTCTGAGGACCCCAGGAGGCGATGGAGCCCATGTGGCAGGAGGAGAGAGGAGAGGAAGGGAGGGGGCCAGACTGAAGGTCAAGGAAGATTCTGAGCAGGAAGTGGGGGAGTGGCTGGTCAAAACCTGGCTTTAGGAAGATAAATCTTGCCACTGAGCAGAATAGACCGGAAGCAGAGTACGGGCTATGGGAGGTCTGAGGGTGGAGAAGGAAGGGCCATGGTGATGTGGCCAAGAGGCGGTCTCTCAGGGCGGATGTGCTGTCTGCCTGACCCATAGGTCAGAGGACAGGGACAGGGCAGGAATAGGGTGACGGGAAACCAGGCTTGCAGAGGAGACAGAGGGCTTCATTTCAGACATTTCTTTTTGGAGGTGCTAGTAGCCAGGTGGGGTGTGTGTGTGGGGTAGCCACAGAAAGTGGGGGTGGCAGGTCCAAGTCCAGYGGCTCCTTGGACAAATGGGACCTCGAGGCCCAGGGGGGTAGGGACTTATCCAAGGTCACACAGAGCATTATAGGATAAAAGAGCAGAACCCTGGTGATCCTTCAGTGTGCCGGGCTTTCTGCCCAATCTCTTTGGCTCCCTCCCAGCCCAGGGGCCCATCTTATCCCATCCTCCTCCTTGGYGGGGTTGGGGTTATCAGGAGCCACACATGGACCCACCCTATCCCCACACCCCAGGGTGGGTCAGCCTCATCACCTGACACAGGGGCAAGCCAGGGCTCCCCAAAGATGTCTTAATCCCTAAATGAGCAATTATTCAGCAGATATGAGGTCCTGTCTGCCCATTTTGTGCAAGATTTTGCTCCCTGGTCTGCCAGGAATTAATTCAGCTCAGAGTAGTCAAGTTACTTGCCCAAGACCACACAGAGAGTTTAGTGACTGAGCCAGAAACTAAATTTGTTCTAAACTCCAAATGCAGGGTTTTATGTACTATCACCCACAATACTGGTAAATGATTGAGTAGGTGTCTCTCTGCCCACACCGTCTCTGCAATGGGTGCTGGAGAGAAATATATTGAATGTATTAATTAGGTGCTGGGTACTTTATGCTTATATTATCTCAATTGTAAGAACTGTCTTTTTAGTAATAAGGAAATGAAGGCTCTAAGAGGGTTTACATGACTTGCTCAATGTCATTCTGGAGAGTCAAGTCAAATTTTGAAACCAGGTTCACATGTCTCTGATTMATTTCCCTGAGCAACAATCTTTTGTAGCAGGCTGTGGACTTCTGGAATTCACAGCTGCATTCCACTGGCCTCAACCCCCATTTCCTTTAGAAGGCCCACAGAGCAACTGCCTTCTGCCTATAAGAAACCTCAAGCAGGATTGCCTAGGAGCTGCGCTGCCCAAATTTCATCCTGAGGACCCTGGGAGAGGTGGGGAGGGTACAACTGGAGGGGGAGGCCTTGCTAGAGAAGTTCCATTTTGGTCTTTTTTTTTTTTTTTTTATGGTCAGAGAAATAGTAGTTTGAAAAATGGTGCTACTGCTGGAAGAATTAAAAAGTTGAAAATTGGGCTGGGTTTGTGGCTCAGTGGTAGTGCTAGCTTACCTAGCACATGTGAGGCCTTGGGTTCAATCCTCAGCACCACATAAAAATATAAACAAATAAAGATATTGTGTCCACCTACAAGTAAAAAATATTTTTAAAAAAGTTGAAAATCACTGATCCTAGTTAATCTTTTACATTATAATATGGAAAATTGGGTGCAGAGAGGCCACAGGACTTGCTTGAAATGACACAGCCAGTGAGGTACAGAGCTAGGAAATGAGCCTGAGGTTGCTGGGACCACATAGTCAGTCTATTACAACAGGCACTTGATAAACATCTGCAGAGTGGGAAAATGCCCCAAGTAACACCTCTGCTTTGCAGACTCAAATCAGGCCGGGTTTTGCATTGTGAAAACTACCTCAAAATTTGGGAGTTTTTTGCACATGGGAAGGGCATGGCCCCTAAATTAAGGGAGCTTGCAAACCTCAGCTTAAATACTGTGTCACCCCATTTATAGGAACAAGACACAATGAGGCCCCACACCTTTGCTTGCTCACATAGATCAGGTTAGTTTTATGAAAGACAGTACAGGGCAGTGCAGAAGGAACCATCTTTCAGCATCAAGCTATTCCAGGTCTGGTCTGTGTTCTACTCTAACGTTGGCCAAGGTCAGCAGCCTTTCAGAGCCTTCATTTCATTATCTACRAAATGGGCTGACATTATCCAGCTTGTGAGGCTGTGGAGAAGATTAGAGGTAGTGCTGAGGTATATATCTGGCACCAAGTAGCTATTCAGTAAACAAGCTAATTTTAATATTAATAGGGGCAGGACTGATCTGGAACAAAATCTCCTGGTATAGTCCTGTGCCTTCTGCACCACACCCCGGAGGGAGGACATTTGTTTAGGCCTGGAGATCAAAGGATGTTTCAAAGTCCCTGCTTCCTAACACCTAATGTGGTAGAGACGGAATAAAGCAACCCCCTACAGATGCAGAATAGTGGGGTGGCCCAGGTGCTATGGGAGGATCCTGTGTCTGGGAGTCAAGAACAGCTTCATGGATGAAAGAACACTGAAGGTCTTGCCTTCCTTGTTTGGCTCCACCCCAACCTGGGTCTAACCTAACTTGGACCCTGAGAGCTGCCACCAAGGGGGCAAGCAGAGCTGCAGGGCTTCAGTCTCACAGGTTGTGTTCCACTGATTCCAGAGGCTGTGCTCTTGGCCCAGAGGGATGGCAACTGCTGCCAGTTCTGGCAGGCTCTGCAGCGGCTCAGAGGAGGCAGGCAGAATTGCCAGCTAGGTAGAAGAGCCAGGTTTAGAAACCAAAAGCCCCAGAAAGGTCCAGGACAGCAGCTGTCAGGCACTTCTGATGAGAAACCTACTGGTTGTTGGTTCAATCAACCCACATTTCCTGAATTTTCTACTCTGTACCTGCTGTAGTGCTAGATACAGGGATTAAAGAGAAAAATGAGAACCCAGTCTGCTCCTGGGGCTTTGAAAGCCCTAATCTTTGGGTTCAGCAATTTGAAACCCAGAGAAGCTCCCATTTCCACAGATTCCTAGAATATCCTTGCTATGAGGTTTCTTGAAGCTTGCTGATTTCATCACTGAAACTCTGGTAAAACTGGGCTCAGAGAAGGGCAAAACATTGACCTGGATCCTGCAGCTAGTTAGCTGCAGATCTGGGCTAAAATTCAGTTCTCCAGCAGCCCAGTCCTCAATACCCACTATGATCTTTGGTACTGAGACAGATTTCACATTTTATTTGGCACAGTTGGACTTATGAAGAGCCACAGGTGAAGGGGGTGGGAGGAGGGAAGGGGTAGAGCCCTAGTCTATCAGGCGGCTGCGATCCAGGGTGGTTAAATTTGTGGTCAGTGGAGTCTGACCTATGTGAGTATAAATCCTGGTTCTGGCACTTTTCACCTGTATAACCTCAATTTCCTCATCTGGTAAGTGGGGACTTGAACGGACCTCAATGGGTTGTCGTAAGGACTGACTGGCCAAGCATGCAACGCCTAGCACAAGCGGTTCTTGTATTTTCCACTCCTCTCCTCCAGCCTGCAAGGCACCTCGGCTCCGCAATGATGCAGAAGGCCGGCGGTGCTGTGGGGTGAATCCAAAGGAGGAAACATGAGCGGGAACTCGGCTTCCAACCCCGGCTGTTGCAGGACCATCGAACCCAAGCAGGGGCCCACGGGGTCTCGGTCCCCAGCTGCAGGATGGGAGCTTCAGGCGCCCGACACAAGCTACGGACACAGGACTTAGTGTAACAGCCTCCGCCTCTCTCAGAGGCCGACCTCCWAACCCTCCAACTCCCGGAGTCCAGCCCCACTCACCTATCTCCTTGAAAGCTCCGAACCGCTGCTCCAGCCACTGCAGCGCGGGATCTAGTCTCCCGGGACCCACGCGGGGGCGGGGCGGCTCACCCGGAAGCAGCTCCCCCCGCGGCCCGCCCTCCCCGCATGGAGGCCACGCCCCTGCGGCCACTCTCCGGGCACGCTGGTCAGCCCTCCYGCGGCCCCGCCCACGCTTATCGGACTCGGGACCTAGCCAATCAGGTGTGCCGAGAGACTGGACAGCCCGTCCTTGCCCGCCACAGGGCGGGAGGAATGAGCTGGGGAGCCCACCCTGGCGTGTGGGAGGGGCCTCTGCGAGTGACCGCGTGTGGAAGGCTGGCACAGCTCTGGGTTCACCCTAGGTTTGCTTTACAGTTCTTCCCAGCCTCCCGCAGGTTTGGCCCTGGTTCATTTTTTGGTGCAAGAACAATTGGATGTCAAGGACCTTAACACCAAATAATGCCTAACACAATAGTTTCATCAATTTTTGCACATTGAGCATTTAAAGTTGTTGAGTTCAGCACCAGACTGTCTTCCAAGTTTTTAGAGAAGATTTATTCCAGCKTGATTACTCAGGGTCTACTCTGTGCCATGGGTTGAGAGATGTGATGTAAAAAGACATGGCATTAGAAAAAAACTCCCAGGGGCATCGCACCTGACTAGGATGGGTACAGTAAAAGATCTGAGCAAAGGTCTATGTTTGGTTGGGTGGGAGAGGACTTGTAGGGGCAGGAGGGGTCTGGTGAATTCAAAGGAGGCCACAGGAATCCAGATGGGACCTGAGGACTTAACCTCTAGTGGTGCTCATGGGAATTAAGAAAGGATGTTTCTACTGTGAGCAGGAATGGGCAGAAATGAGCCTGGAGTGAGCAGATTGGTGGTTGCAAGGTAAGGCAACCACCATTTATTACAACCACTATTTATTATAGGGAGTTGAAAATGTGTATGCTCGTGTGTATATTCCTTCATATATGTATATTTAAAGTTATTGAGTTCAGCACCAGACTGTCTTCCACGTTTTTACACACACACACAATTTTTTTGGGGGTACTGGTACTTGAACCCAGGGGTGCTTTACCACTGAGCTATATCCCCAATCCTTTTTATATCTTGAGACAGGGTCTCCTTAAGTTACTGAGGGTCTCACTAAGGTGGCTCCAGTTTAGCAAGAACCTGTCTCAAAATAAAAAAAATTAAAAAGGTCTGGGGATGTAGCTTAGTGAAAAAGCCCCACTAGATTTCATCCACAATAAAAGATAAAAAGGTTTGTGTTCTGTGAATTTTATCTCAATTTTTAAAAAGCTAGTTCACTAAAGGCAATGTGGTATTCTGGATTGGAGCTGTAACAAAAAAGATAGTATTAGAAAAACCGGTGAAATACAAGGACAGTTTGTCCTTTAGTTAATTTTTTTTCTTTCATTTGACAAATGTTCCATGGTTATGTAAGATGTTAATGTGAAGGGAAGCTGGGTGAGGGGTTTATCAGAACTCAGCATCCTTTGTAGTTTTCTGTAATTCTAAAATTTCTCTAAAAAGTTTATTTAAAACAACAAAAGCATCATCAAAGACGGCAGGGACACAATCTATTTTCATGAATTAGTGCTAAGATCCAGACAAGTCACTTCTAAGGAGGCTCAATTTGCCATTGGTAAAAAAGAGGGGTAAAGCTGCAAAAGTAGTTTTGAATGGGTCAGGACAATCTCCTACTCCCCAGATCCAGATCAAAATCTCTGGGCACAAAGTGTTGTGCTTAAAGAAGAAAGATGAGAAGCTTTACCTTAGTTTGGTAACAAACCTTCAAAATCCAGATACCACTACAGGAATGATACAGGTGTGGCTAGGGCAAACTGATCCACTACCTCAAAGATTCTTCCCAGTTAAATTCTGTAATTTTAAATCATAGTCTCCTCTTTCAGGAGACATTGCTCTTAGAAAGTTAGTTTGGTGAAAAATGGGGCAGGATGAACTAACACTAAATAGGGGAGCTTTTGGGGATTCATTTTTAACTGGAGCATAGAGTTTTATGTTGTAAATTAAAATAGATGATAGGGTTAGCTCCTTACAACTGGGTAAGTATGGACTTATGAACCCAGAGTTCATGCTTTCTAGGCAAGTGCTCAACTACTGAGGTATATTGCCAACCCTTTTTTTGAGTCAAGGTCTTAAATTGCCCAGGCTGGCCTTGAACTTGCAATTCTCACCTCAGCCTCCTGAGCAGCTGGGATTAGATAAATGACACTGTGCCCAGATTGAATTTAATTTAATAGGAAGTGGGGAGTGACTGTAATACAGCCATGTTCCAGAAAGATCCACTTGGCAAACAAAACACAGAGGAAGCAGATGAGGCAGGAAATTGAATTCAAAGGAAGCCACAGGAATCCAGATGGGACCTGAGGACTTAACCTCTAGTGGTGCTCATGGGAATTAAGAAAGGATGTTTCTACTGTGGAGCAGGAAAAAGCCACTGGACCAAGTAACCACTGGGGTTCTACTTTTGTAAAATATTATTTATAAATTTATGATTTGTAAAACTTTATATAGAGTTGTGGTTGATAAAATGACTGCTTCAGAGTTTTAAGATTAATACTTGAGGGCATTTAGAACAGTGCCAGACACAGGATGGGCTCAATAAACAGAGCTGATGAGAATCTATGTGTAGGGGCCCAGCAGAGCCACAAAAGGCAGCACTCCTCCCTGAGAAGGAGCGGCATCTGCTGGTCATGCAAGGTGATGCAGGATTCCACATTTACAAAAAGTCTGGCCCAGTCCGCACCTCAAATACCAAATGGGGCACGATTAGTGGGTCTTCTTGAAACACACATCCTCAAATATGAGATTTTTTTTTTTTTTTGAGATGGGGTCTTGAACTCCTGGACTCAAGATATTCTCCTACTTCAGCTTCCCAAGTGCTGAGACTATAGGCGCATAACACCATAAGTCAGCTAGTATGTCATCACTTTAAACAAGAATGTTTTTTATTTGTACAAAGCATTATAATCTTTAAAACAGTCTTCGTTTACCAATAAACTTTCCATTGTATTCATTTAACAAATTAATGGTTAAACTATACCATACTACCTTGTCAAATCCCAAGCACTCAACTGAGACAAAAAAAATGCTTTGAAGCACTTTGAATGGAAAGAGAAAAGGCTAAGAAAGGCCAACAGAGATATTTTAGAAGAAGTTAAGGGGAATTTTTTTGGTGGGGGTGGGAKATTAAATTCATGAGCACCATCAGATTTCCCTTAAGGTTCAGAATTTATCAAAGAAAAATATTAAGATATGAAATTAGAACTAAGAAATATAAGAAACCTGCACTTTGGGATATTAAGCAGGTAATCAGAATTCCTAGATTGTGGATGAAGTTAAGTGAAAAAGGGAAAGAAAGTAGAGAAGAGTCAGAAGAGATAGAAAAAGGGAAGCCTGGGGGGTTCTGCACCTTCCAGGAGGTGACATTAAATACTAACGCTGTACAGTAGTAAATAGTGAGGGACATCTAACACTATGCCATCTGTTTTAAATAAGTAAGACACTGGCATCCCTGCTGGACTACCTCCAATCAATACTAATTTAAAAGCATATGTCCCCAGAGTGTAGCCATTCTATAGGCTGTATGTCTACAAGCAATCTAAAAGGACTGAAAGCCAAGTGGGATTAGAGGAAATGAAACTCAAATTAATGCAACTGTCAAGTGATGAGATTACAGAGTWCATTATTCTCCCATAGCCTTTTAGTAGTTTTTTTTTTTTAAAGCTAAACCATTCTGATCATTCTTAATAAGGTACTACTGCCAAATACTGTTACAAACAGACTGACCAATTTTTCCTGAGCCTTGACTGCCTCTGTAATATGGAACATGGCAGGCAGCATGGAAGTTATTACTTTTGTGGAGAGGCAAAGAGACTTGGGATCAAAAACTACCTAGCYGTACATGTAAGTAAACAAGATATATTAATTCGACAAATTAGCCATTCAGAATCCCTTAAAAAAAGTCATAACCTTCAGACTGATTAAGCAAAACAGAATTCTGTCACTCAGATGCTCTGAGTCTGGAAAGTGCTGGTTTTGATGATAATTCTAGTCAGTTTTTATTTTGATCTTCTCAGGCAAACATCAAACTTTGCCTGCTCTGCTCAGCAGGGAAAAGCTTTGCATAAACATGTTCCACATTTCAGTGTGGTAGCTTCCACAGAGCCATGACCTACCCTCCCTATTCAATTATCTACGTCCTCTTCTTCGTTCTGTTCTTCTTCTTCCAGTCTTTCCTCATCTTCTTCATTGTCCTCATCCCTGCTCCTGTCTTGCTCTTCTGAGTCTGTTTTTTTATCTTTGTCCTTCTTCTTTTGCTCTGAAGCTTCCTTCTTACCTTTCTGTTCCCGCCTATAAGCTGTAAGGAAGTAGGAGGGGGATTAGGAGGAGGATTGGAAGAGGTAGCAGCTAACCCCATGGTAATAATTGGAAAAGCTGCGGCTCAGGAGGAAAAATAGCCTGCCCAGCATGGCAAACAGATCTGAGGTGGTACATCCAGTATTGATCCGAGTCACATCCAGTATTGGTTTACTGGACTTGACAAGGACCCATGCTGAAAGCCTCAGGGCCAGGTGAACAGGTCATACAGGATGACCATCTTCTATGCGCTTTAGAAAATGGAAGGATCATTACCTTCCAGAGCTTCTTTTAAGGGGGTAATGAACCGCTGGAACTCCATCTCTTCCATGGCTGAGAGCACATCACTGGCATTGAGCGTCTTGCGCTTCCCTTTCATTGCAAAGTTGTTGGCACTGAAAGAAGAAAGGGCAAGCGCTGTCGGTGGCTGTGAGGCTCCGCTTGCTGTGTGCCAGCGGAGGGGTGGGAGAGCCTACAGACGTCTGAGATGCATGTATTGCTGTGTGACACGGGAAAGTCCTTTCMTTCTCTGAACTCAAGGGCTAAAGCAGCGTTGTTTTGTCGTTTAAATTGCCACACAATTAAGGAAGCTGTGAACCTCTCTGCACTGAGATGGGACCCAGTAAGGGTCTGTAGGTTCCAGACCCCAAACTCCGAGCCAGGTCTCCTGCGCCTCCCCTATCCCTAGCGGTGCCCGGCTCACCAGGATGTGGCGTACAGCACGAAGACACTGGCGGCGCGGGAGATGGCGCTCCGGGCCTCCTTGGAGATGTTGACACCGTCCGGGAGCTGTGGGGGGAGTCGGGGTGAGCAACACTGCCAGCCCGGGACCTGCTTCCCTCCTGCCCGCTCGTCCGCCCCCGGCCCAGCAGCTCACCGCCTCTTTAATGATCCTGGTGATGACAGCATTGGGCAGGTTTAAGTCCTCTGGCCTCTCCGCCATTGCCACGGCCGGGACCGAAGCTGCTTCAGCCTCCGGCCTCTTCTTCAGGCAGCTGCCGCGTCCGGACTTCCCGCGTCGCTACGGTATGACCCTTCCAGGCTTCCGTTCCATCCCACGTTGCCCACATTACGTCCCACAGTGCCCCGCGCGTCAAAACCGCTCTCGGGCCCCAGCCCCGCCTCTATCTCAAATCRTTGTGCTTCCGAAGTTTCCACACTACAGAGATTTTGGCCCGCCAGGGCTTCCGTCCTATCCCGCGGCRCTCGTTTCTCTCCTTATTTCGTCACCACGTCTGGGAACTTTCTCATGAACCTAAGTGTGGCTCACCGAAGCTTCCGTCCGTTCCCCATCATGCTCTGTGCCGCTGCTAGGCGACGGTACGGCCAAGSAGTTAGCGTGGGGGAAGGCCAGGAATGAACCTATGGGGTGGGGCTACTTTGGTCAGAGGCGGGGCTTGGTGGGCAGGGCTACCCCGCGGCGTTGCCCGCGCACCTTGTAGCCCAGAATCTTAACTGTTTGTAGTCAGCTTTGGTCTCACGAAGCGATGCTGTTTTGGGGTCAGTCTCTCGCTAATGATGTTTTCCCTTGTTCGGAAGGAAGCGGGAAATTTTTTCAACTCTATGGGAGAGGATGTCTGTCCTTAATATTTTCTCCCCTCACAAGTTTGTAATAATAGTAAAAGATAAGTCTTACATTTTTTCTTCCCCCAACGAGAATTGTTTTGCCAGCACAGTGCTGATGCTGGCGGTGTCGCGATACACCTGATTAGACCCCGGTGCACCCTTCGGACTGGGTAGGTAGAGCTGCCCAGCTGCCTATAATAATACAACATCAAAAGCAACCCTTTAAAATCGTATTTAATTTTTAGTTCATTAAATTGTTAATCRTACATCTTTCCCTGTCAAAATCGTCACCAAGGTTTTGCAGTGGCGTTTTAAGTTTTATTATTTTCATATTAAATAGGTAAAAACTCTCACTCCCACTGAGAACTAATGCTGCTTTTTTTTTTTTTTTCTGAAAACACATTGTCTCGGAGACTTTTTTTTTTTTTTTTTTTTTTTGATGTAGACATGATTACAGAGAAGAATTTCCCTATTAGGAGAAAAACAACAGAGCAAATGTGATGATAAATGGCAACTGGAACTACTTCCCTTAGAGACTATTGGGACTGGTGGGGGAACTCTGCACTTGGATAGAACACGCTTGGTTTAAAGACATCAAAAGCTGCTCAGCTCCAGCCAGTTGCTGTCTAGTTGGAACTGGGTCTAGTGTTGTCAGATGTTTTGATCTCTAAGAGGAACCAGAAGTCTGGACATTATGGACTATTTCAGTTTTAAAATACTGGTTCAAAGTGCCAACCAAACTAAACAAGTCATAGGCTAGGTGTAATCCCAGGCCAACAGTTTGTTATCTTTGATCTAAGTTAGAAGTTGTTTAGGATAGGGAGTTTGTTAAAATATTTGTACCCTTTCTTTTTCTCCTTCATTAATCATTAGATGTCACCATCTACAGAAAGCTTTATCAGTTTACAATCAATGAAGCCACAGAAATGCTTTAGATGGCTCAAACCTTTGGAATTTATGCTTCATTTTTCAATATGCTATAATTCCCATGCAGACAGATAAAATACCAGCGAAGAATGGCAGACAGATAAAATACCAGCAAGGAATGGCTTTGCTCAAATAACAAATTGGTAGGTTTGCAGCTACTTCCGAAGCCTTTAGCTTTTCATTTACTGACTGTGTCCTACCTATATGCCAGACCTTTTAATATTCATCAACTAATTTTTCATGATGACTGTGAAACAGGCTATCCCCACTTTATAGGGAACTGAGGCTCAGATTGGTTAAGTCCAAAGACACTCAGCTATTAAATGTCCAATTAGGAGAGCTTCTGAAGTCAATCTTTTTCCCTTCTCTTCCCTTCCCTGGAATTGAACCTAGGGGTGCTTTGCTACTGAGTGATATCTCCAGCATCCCYCCCCCCTTTTAATTTGAGACACTGTTTTGCTAAATTGCTGAACAGCTGGCTTGGAATTTGAGATCCTCCTGCCTCAGCCTCCCAAGTAGCTGGGATTACAGGCATAGGCCACCACGCATGGCTGAAGTTKATCTGCTTTCAAACTCTTACTTTTGAACTCATGCTGAGATACTTTCATGCTTGCTTGTTACTGAATCCTAAATTATCTTGTGACCACTATTTACCATAGAGGTTCAATAGAAACATTTTATGATTTGAATGCAAATTAAGATTGACTACATAACTAATGTGTAATATGCCCTAATCATGTGGTTGTTGATTATCCAGTGGGCTACAAAGCTGCAGGATTAGTCTGTCCTAAGCCATGGATTGGCCGGATGAGAGTCAATGGGATGAAACCACCTGCAACATGGCTATTTGTCAGCATCCGCAATGCTGGGCAGCTCTCCGCAGGATTGAGAGGGGCCATCCTCGAATCCTGGGCTCACCCTGCAAAACTTTTCTGAATATTGAAGGTGAATTAGTTAACCCCTGTCTTTTTCCTGAAGAGGTCCTTAAAGGGTTAATGTTTGACCACCTTTCTCCAACATGTTACATTTTTCTTCTGGTTTGCTTTCTCAGAGAAACTCCCAGTGCTCACCATTGTAAACATCTCAGATTCCTGCCTCCGGACCAAGAGATGTGCTCATCAAGAATTGTCAAAATTTACCTTCACCAAGGCTCATCCTTTATTGTCTCAGTGTTCAAAGATTGATGCCAAATTCCAAGGCAGGTAAATTATCATGGATTCTTCCTTTAACCAACTGTTGTCTCAAAATTCTAGATTGTGGGGGTGCTGGGGATGTAGCTCAGTGATGGAGTTGTTGCCTTGTATGTACAAAGTCCTGGGTTCAATCCTCATCACTGAAAAGAAATTGTAGGTTGTGATTTCCCTTGCCCATGTGGTGGGTTTCAAGAAAGCTGGATTAAAAAGAAAGTTTMATTTGGTTTAAGAAGTGGTGAGTAGCAATGGGAAACAAAAAGCATTTTTGCTTCTGTTTTGGGAGTTGGCTAATTTGTGGCTGTATTGGTTTGTACTTCATTACAAAGTACCATAGACTGTGTGGTTTAAACAATGAATTGATTTTCTCACCGTTCTGGAGGCTAGAAGTTTGAGATTAAGGTGTCAGCAGGTTTGATTTCTTTTGAGACATCTTTTCTTAGCTTGTAGAGATGGCTGTCTTCTCCTGTGTCTTCAGTGGTTTCCCTGTGTGTGTGTGTGTGTGTGTGTGTGTGTATGTGTGTGTGTCCCCTAATCTTGTCCTATAAGCATAACTGTCAGATTGGACTAGGGCCCACCATATGACCTCAATTTTCCTTCAATACTTTTTTTTGTTTTGGTACCAGGGATCAAACTCAGGGGCACTTAACCATTGAATTGCATCCCCAGCCCTTTTTATTTTTAATTTTGAGACAGAATCTTATTAAATTGTTTAGGGCCTTGCTAAGTTGCTGAGGTTGGCTTTAAACTTGAAATCTTCTTGCCTCAGCCTCTCAAATTGCCTAGATTTTTCACCATGACTGACTTCATTATCTTTTTAAAGACCCTCCCTCCAAATATAATCACATTCTGAAGTATTTGGGTTRGGACTTAAACAGATAAACCTTGGGAGACACAGTTCAGCTTCTGTAGGTCATCAGGAAATGGGGTCCACAATACTGTCATCCTTACTTTTTATTTTTAGGCATGGAACTTTTTATAAGCTCCTGGAGATAGAAAAATTGCTTTTCTTTTTGGCTCACCTACAAAGTAAGCACCCAATCTTGTTAATATATGAAATCAAGCGACAAGTATCTGTGGAAAACAATAACTTTTAAAATACAATGACCTTGTAGCTTGGAATCCAAGCACTAATGTTGGCCCTTACAGTGATTTCTTTTTTCCTGTTCCAAGTAAGCAGTCCCTGTTGATTTTTCTTAGGCTAAAGGTGAAATAGGAAAAGGTCAGACTACTTTCAGGTTCTCTAGGACTTGAGCCCTAGGGAAAAGGCAGCATCTTCCAGCCAGGACCTGCAGTGTGTTTCACATCCACACAGACACACAACATACTTTCTCTCCTGCCATGCCCAGCTGTGCGATGTGCTGGTAGAGAGTGGCCTCTTCCAGTCAGTTCGAGGTTTCCTTCCGTTATGGTTGGATGTGGAATATCCCTCAAAACTCATATGTTGAAGGCTTGGTCCTCATGCTAGCAGTGTTCAGAGGTAGTGTTCAGAGGTAGGGCTTTGGGAAAGTAATTGGAAGATGAGAGCTAGAACCTCATCAGTGTGTTAATYCATTGATTCATGGCTGACTGGGCTATCAGGAGGTGGGGAAAACTGTAGGAGGTGGGATCTAGTCAAAGGGAGTGATTCACTGGGGGTGTGCCCTGGGCAACTATATCTTGTCCCTTCTCCTCTCTCTACTTCTGACTGCCAGGAGATGAGCGGCTTGGCCTTATTGCATCCTGCCATCATGATGATCTGCCTCATCATAGACCTAGAGCTATGGGGCCAGATGACCGTGGACTGAGACCTCTGGCTCCTCTGGCTCACAGTGCCTCTTCATTTATAGTAGATAGACGAAACCTGCCCATTGTGGAGCCTCTTTACTATCTGATTCTTCCAGTCATTGAGTCCTCTCTTCTCTGACACCAACTCTGCCTCAGAGTCATACTGATTTTCTAATTGTGCTTTTCTGCAACTGACATCCAACTTAAAAGCCCTCTTTCTTTTTTTTTTTTATGTTTATTTTTTTAGGTGTGGATGGACACAATACCTTTATTTAATTTATTTATTTTTATGTTGGTGCTAAGGATTGAACCCAAGGCCTCACAATGCTCTAGGCAAGCACGCGCTACAAAACCAGCCCCTAAAGGCCCTCTTTCTAATGAAGATTGCTTCATTAAGTCCCTGGTGTGGCCTATATATGGCCCTGTGAGAGCCTGCCTTCCTGATGGACCTTGTCTCTCTCATGTTTCTCTCTTTCTTTCTTTCTTTCTTTCTTTCTTTCTTTCTTTCTTTCTTTCTTTCAAAAGAGAGAGAGAGAGACAGAGAGAGAGAGAGAATTTTAGTATTTATTTTTTTAGTTTTTCGGTGGACACAACATCTTTGTTGGTATGTGGTGCTGAGGATCGAACTCGGGCCGCACACATGCCAGGCGAGCGCGCTACCGCTTGAGCCACATCCCCAGCCCCTCTCCCTTTCTTTTTAAGTAGGTTCCAGCCACGTTGTTGTTTCTGTTTCTCAAATACTTCACACTGCCTGCCTCAGGGCTCATAGACACACTGTTTCCTTTGGGTGGAATAGTTTCCCTTAGAGTAGAAATATCATCCATCAAACAATAACTCTACATTACCTTTCTTCCTCTCAGCTGGGTAATCTCTATTCTATTTTATGTCTCTTTGAATTTGCTTATTCTAGGTAGTTCATGTAAGTGGAATCATTCAGTATCTGTATTTTTGTATTTGTCTTCTTTCATTGGCACAGTGTTTTCAAGGTTTATTTATATTGTACCATCTATCAGAATTTCAGGGTTTTTTTGATACTTGGGATTGAACCCAGAGACACACCAACCAGTTCTTTTATTTTTTTATTTTGAGACAGGGTCTTTCTAAATTCTCAAGGCTGGCCTCCAATTAGAAATCTTCCTGCCTTAGCCTCCTGGGTAGCTTGGATTACAGACATGTTGTGCCACCAGATGTGGCCTAGAATTTCATTACTTTTCAAAGAGTGTGAGAGACACAGGCTATGAATTTAGTTTGATGCAACAAACAATTGAAGTATTTGCAGTGTGCAATGTCTGTTAAGAGCCTCTACATTCATTTGGTTAGTATTAAACCCCAGGTTTCCCATAGATAAGTAGAAGGATTTCTCTCATAGCTCTAATTGTATCATTCCAATRTCTTTTGTGTCTCTGTTTCATGTTTGAAATTAATTTTTTAGGCATTGGAAAGGTTTACCTGACAAAAGATTGATCAGCTCTGCTAAGAGATCTTCCAAAGTAAGTATAAACTAAAAGGTGCTTTCCTCAACATTTTCTTTTTATCAGTGGGAATATTTTATTGCTTTTAACATTATTTTTCAGGATGACTGCAATCTCAACAATAATAATAATGATAATAACTGTCTAGTTTGGGGCCCTTATTATATGCTGGGCCTGGTGCTAATGACTTTATATGTTATATTGTCTTCAGGAATCCCAGGCACAAGTGGGATTGATATGTGGAGATGTGGTGTAGTTGAGAATTTTCTGTCTCTATCCTGTGTAGGTTCAGCTTCTAACATAAACATTGGCATCTCATAGTCAGGGTTGTTTGAACAGTAAAATGTCAGACCTAAAATGGGCCTTAAGGTCATCTAATCTGATGATTTTCAGACTTTTAAAAGTTTAATATGTGGTAAAAAATAAATTTTGCAATGAAAGTTTCCTGGAGTAATTCTTACTCTATATGTGTATGTGAGAGTGCTGATATTTTCTTTTCTATTCTATTTAATTTTTAAACAATTTGGGCCTTGATTAACCAAATTTGATTGTATGACCTATGAATAATTGCAGTTATAGTTTAAAAATCATTATGGTCTGTCTCATATATCTTATAGGTAAGGAAACTGAATTCTAAATGGGAAGTGTGTTGCTGAAGCAGTTGGCAAGTAAGAGGAAAATTAATGCAAAATTAGAACTTTAGGAAGAAAGACTGACTCTCCCACTTGCATGAAGTTTAAAGTCCTACTGGATGCCCTTTATTATTATTTTTTCATGAGATGTGTTTCTATTCAGTGTCTTGTGGTGGTTAATGTAAGGCACTAAGAGATGGTAGATGGTTTGAATGAACAAATCGCTTTACCTCTAACCTCTTTAGAATAAGAGAGTTAGGTTTAATTATTTCTAAATTAATTATATTAATAGGTATACATGAACATGAATCTAAATTCAAAAGGCATTAAGGAGCTTATAATGAAAAGGATTCTCCTTTTTTCCCCTCAAGCCAATCAGTTCATTTTCTCAGGGCAACCTTATTTTAAATTTTTTTTTGAGGGAGTATATATCTTAGAARGAATAGGGATCAGATGATCAATAAGGTTTCCTTGAGCCCCAGTGTTGTAGGATCCTAAATCACTAGATGTGAGAAGAATTAATACTTCAACTTTTTTTGTAGATGCCTCTAATTGTAGACAGGGTATAAATAAAAGTAGAAAATTTGGTTCTGTGTGCACTAGTTCTCTCCCTGTTCCCCAAATGCTGATGGTATTATCTGCAGGGGATCTCAGTCTTAGGAGTGGAGAAGGAAGAGTGAGTGGTGTTCTCCTAAGTAAACTTCAAGGCACCCTCAAGGGGATAGTGTTGGAAGTTGCTAAATTCCACTCTAATGTCATAGGGAAGCAGGGAGATTATTCATTTAAAGATGCTTACAGAGGACCTGTACTGAAACCTGGTGAAGTAGTTTGTTTTGTGGAAGAATATTACGAAGATATTTGGGGAATGGGAAATGTCTTTTTATCATCTTCTAGGCCGCAGAACTCTTTAGTTACCATGGTAATTCAGCCCTTAGTCTGATACTGAATACAGGCAGGAGCCAGGCAACTCAATCATACATAGCCTTTATATCCTTCTTTTAGCTTCCAGTGTTAAATTTGAATGAGACAAAACTTCCTTGTCCTGAAGGTGTCAGAAATATGGTTGTAATCTGGATTCCAGAACCAGAGAAGAATGTGAGGTGAGTATCAGGTTAGAACTTGGTGTCCCTTTGATATTTGTGTCTTACAAATCCCTGAATCCTCTGCAGGCCTCTTTTTTGTGATTTCCCTTTTAGCTACTTCACTGCAAGTAGTGGGAGAAGAGCAGAGAAGGTGATTGTGGTCTCTTGCTTCTGCCTCTTACTACACTGGAGTTGTTTTATGCGGTGAAGCTTCTCTTTATCAAATTTTACTTGACAGTAAATAGCATACAATATAGGGTCTAGTTTATTTGTGTGGTTTGATTAAAGATTAAAATGCTTTCTATTAGTGTTTCTTATTAGCTCTCTCAGCAACTCGTAAAATCACTCAGTGAAGCATAGGAACCTCTGATCTCCACCCTAAGGCCTAGGATAGTGGTACAAAATGAATACCATATAGGACCTGTATACAAAGCAGAGCAAGACAAAGATCATTTGGTGAAAGTTCAAAGATTTGCTAGTGTTGATAACCRTGGGGATATATTTGTGATCTCTGAGGCTTTCGGATTCTTAAGTGATTGTTTGAATTAGTTCCTTTCCTTTCTTCTTTTTGTGGTACTGGGGATCAAACTCAGGGCACTTCCTTGAGCCACACCTCAAGCCCTGAAATATAGGGCTAGTAGCCAGCTCCATGAGACAATCAGAAGCCAGGGCTCCTTGTAGCTTTCGGGCCACTCTCTTTGCCCCATGGCTTCTGTCTTCCAAGATGCTTCATAGGTGCCTTTTAAGGTCTAATTTTAAGGTCTAGCATGTCCATTTTCCAGACAAGAAGGAGGAAAGAGAATAGAGCAAGAAATACTTTTTGAGTTCTTTCTGTGGCTTCTCAGTGAGGATCCAGTGAAGAATCTTATAGATTTGGTCCTTGTGCTCCTTGAGCCATATGGAGGAGTCAAACATCACAAACATACATATATCATTTCTAATTTATATTCACTATAAAAGTAAATTACTAGGTTGTGGGAATGTTGGGGACCTAATTTAGATGTGTGAGTGAGGAGTCTTTTTTAGCAATAGATACTTTTGAGCTCCCAACCAGCTGTCTTCGAGTACTTACCAGAAAGGTAGAATTTTCATTATTCACAGTGACCTGGGTGTTTCGGCTTAAGATGTCTGAGAAAAAGTGTGGTTATTCTTATTTCAAGCTTAGCTAAGAAGACACATACTTTCCCCAGCCAGGATGAGAAGGAGGAAAGAAAGAAATTGGCAGTGGTGAGTTTGATTTTTTTTCTATTTTACCTAGCTGCTTTATTTTTTATTTCCACATAAGTTCAAACTCGTAATGACTTCTTCAACAAGCATATGTTGTACCCATGTTACCTGAATGCAGTTTTAGCTTTTATAAAATCCAGTAAACTCTTACTCTGGCATTTGGATGTTTGTTAATGCTATTTGTTGTGTCTTGAAAAACTTTCTTATTTTTGAAAAAAAATTTCTCTTAAGATGTGCAGATGCTTTGGACTTACTATAATTTCATCAGCATACAGGGATTTCTCTTTGGAACCCTTTCGTCTGCTCCAGTCAGAGCTGGTTGTTCTCTATGTTCACACTTACCATCCTTGGATCATTCCCAACATCTTCCTAGGGATTCCCTTTGCTTCTTTTTAATGCTGTATGACTTGGTAAATTCCATGTATGTGAGTTTGATTTTTGTCCCATACCTCATGATGTTCCTCTGTATGGTTTATTTTCGTCTTCCTTTCTAGTCTCCCCTCCCCTCACCTTTGTTTTCTCTCTGAATGAACAGAATCTGCAGAAGAAAACCCTTCTTTAGGAATATTTACCAAACTTCTTCAGACTCCTTTTCCTAAGGGTTCCCTGTAGGGAAGTAAAAGAGCTCCTTGAAGAGGTGACAGGAGGATCTGTTGGGTAGTCAGGGGAACTTATTGGTTAGTTAAAAACTGAGCCAAAATGTGATGGAATAAAATTCCAGGAGTTAAAAGACCTGGGCTTCCAACTCTAATTCTACCACTTATGGGTAAATGCGACATTGAGTAAGTCGCAGAGTCATAGATCACTGTGTCCAGGAGCGTACTGTCTTGGTCCATTTCAGTCATCCCTGTGCCGACATCCCTGTGCCTGGCACATAGATAGACAATACTTATTTATTAGTTTGATGAATGAGTAAATTATGACCTCTTTGGAAAATCAAAACAATGAAAACAATTAAGCTCTGTATGATCCAAGTACAATAATAGGGTTGAGAGCCTGTGAGGGGAGAATGGAGTGACCCTCATGGTGGAGAGGATGTGGGAATGGCTAGAATGGGACTGGAAACAAGGAGTTTCACATGTCAGGCTGGAATATTGTTGGAAGAAATGGGCTCAAAGAGAGTTCTTTAGAGAGTTCCTTCTGTTTTTTTTTTTCTTCTCTTGCAGGGAAACAAACCACCTCTGGATCACTCTGAAAGGAAGCACACAGAGATGCAGCTGAGATTTCCAGATGTGATGGTGCCGCCCCCCTCCCCAGTTCACTCTTTTGAATCCATACCTGGCTGGAGCAAATTTGCCATGCTGCCTCAGGATCTACTAAAGGAGTGAGTGTCATGGAGGCCTGGGGGAGAACAGAGTCCCTGCTTGTYACTGAAGCTAAGAAGAACCTAAGCATGTGCTCTTTCTGAGTAGGACAGAGAGCAAAGTGTTCTCCTGTTTGCTTACTGAATTATTAGTTTCATCAACAGGTAGTGATGATGGTAATCAACTGCCACCATCTACCAAGCACCTGCCATCTACCAGCCCCTGGGCTAAGTTCATTACCTGACTCTCATTGAAACCCCCACAGGAGGCACTAGATGAATTATGGATAAGTGGGAGGCAAAATGGTATATGTGGTTTGGAATGTGACAGGCTTTGGAGTCAGTATGGAAACTAACTTGGTAAATTTTGGTAATTTATTTCATTTCTTTGAGCTTTGTTTTCTTTGTATGCAAAATGGGTATTATAATACCTGTCTCCCGGGTGTTGTAAGGATTCAGTGGTATAATGCATATGAGCCTGATGTAGGGCAAATACTTAATGAACACAGCTGTGCTTATCACAGAAGCATCTCAAAGGTGTTACCGAATGAGTCCCTGTTGGCACAGACCTTTCCAGAACCAAAGAGGAAATGTCTTGGGATTTAGAGCCCATTACACTCTTCCTTGTCAGTGGCACAGACTGGGAAGAGCTGCTGCTGACTGACTGTCTGTGTCCCCTTCAGCCTTTTATCAGATGGAGGGAAAACCGTGCCTTGTCCGGAGACGAAGATACAATTGGCCATGATGAAAAAGAAGCTTCCCCTGGAAAAGAACCGACCCGAGAGTGCACTTTCTTCTAAGATGTTTCTGACTATACACAGCCTCACCCTGCAAGTAAGAGCCATGGCGCCCCAGAAGGAGAGGCCTGCATGAAAATCCAAAGTCGTGTCCTCCTTTCTCTGCTGCCTTTGCTCTTTCACCTGTGTCCCAGAAGTCTGGGCTCTATGTAGGTGGATGCCAGTGTGTGKGGGGTACTTGAGAAGAGCATGTTCTGTTTCCCTCACCTTTCTCTTCCTTGCCACCCCACCCCCTGCCAGCTATGCAGCAGAACACTGGGTTCTCAAATGTGCTCGTTGACTAGATGAAAAAATGCATTGGGGGAAAGGAAAGGAACCACAGCAGAGCTTTTCTTCTTCTCCTTCCTCTAGACACCAACATTAAGATATTCTGAACATTTGAAGAAATTACATTGTAACCTGCAGGGAGAAGGTAAATTTTTTGTTACTACTGGATTTCCAGGTACTGCTTCCCCTCAGCCCACATATCTCTTACTTTAACTTGGTCCCAATTCAGTTACGTTGGTTGTTAACAGTCACATGGGGTTACATGTAGAACTCAGGAAACTGTTTTCAGGAAGGAGCCATCCAGAGGGGGTGAGAGAGTCACTGTAGTGGGGTGGGGAGGTCAGAGCAGGTGGCTAGAGAGGCTGGGGACTGTTGGTGAGAAATGTAATCTAATTGTTGGTTCTCTGGTCACTAGATTACAGAAAGCAGCAGCAACATCAGCAGCAGCAGCAGAAGAAGAAAAAGAAGAAGAAGAGGAAGGTGAAAACACCTACTAAGAAAAAGGTAGGGTGACAGTGAGGGAAGCACTGGCACTTGCTGGCCGGGAGAAGTCAGTGCAGGCTGGAATGGAGGGAGTGTCTGCAAGGAGGGATTCTGCCTGACCACTTTCTGGTTGTGAAAGTAACATTCCTATCTGGTTGAAGGTGTTAAGTTCCTTCTTTTCAACTCCTTTTGCAAAAGTTTTCTTTACTTCCCAGAGTCCTAATTCAGTTCCTCCTTATATGGGTTTCAGGAGGCTACAGAGAAAGCCACGAGTRACCCAGGGAGCCAGACGACTGCACAGAAGCATTCCATTTCCATCGATCTTAATCGTCTCCATGGTAAGGAGAACACGTGCTCGGTTGAGTGATGGAATCCCAGGACATAGCTGAGGCCAGAAAAGTCAACACATTTTGTCATTTTGAGACCTGCCTTAGTCAGGCACTTGAAATTGAAATGCTTAGTCTGGCTGGCTGGTCTACACATCATCCTTCCATCAAGTATTTACTAAGATGTCTGCTTCACGTGGGGATTTGAGAGCTGACTGTGAGCATGAGTTATGGTCATTTTTTYCCTCAGATCCTATCTTAGAAAAGACTGGCTTGAGGATCAAAGGGGGGCACAAGCCCAGGTTATCAACAAAATCCTTGAGAATTCATTGGCCAACAAGGCAGGGAATAGCTGGGGTTCCTCACAAAGGCCCCTGGAGAATCCTAAGGAAGCAGAACTCCAGAGCCCTCTGGCTTCCTTGCAACAGGCTGGAGAGTTAAGGAACCTCAGGCTGAAAGCAGCACATCCAGGAGGCAGCAGCCAGTTCCCAACAGGCAGCCCTTCCCTCTGCTCTTCATGCTGGAGGCAGGAATGGATATCTCCCCCTTTGGAGCCTTTATCTTGTCTGACCAGAAGGATATGGTTAACYTTGTCCCTTTGACATTTCTCAGCTTGAGTGGAGAGTGGGAGGGAGGGTGAAAGTCTCCCCATAAACCTTGTAAGACTATTCTGCTCTACTCAGACTGGACCTTGCTGGCTCTAACTTGAAAACAACTGTTTAATCATGAGAGCTCATTGTCTAATCATGGGGTACTGGGAGGGCTCAGGTGAGATGTCTCCTGAGAAGGATGCTGCCCTTGCTTTACTTCCCATCCCACTGTACTCTCTGATACCAAGATGTCCTCTAACCCAAAGATCCAAGAAGATTCTTAAGCTTCACATGGAAGGTGGAAGAATCAGGGCTGTAGCCCAGGGTGGGAGGTAACTTGTCCAAGGTTAGTGTCTATTCAGAATGATCACTACCTCTCCCCCAAATTCCATTCTGGTGCCCTGCCCCACGATGCCCACTACTTGCCCCCTCTTCCTAATGCCTCCAATAGGAGCCGTTTGTCTTGGGTGACCATTTTGAGTCATGTTCTTAGAGCAATGACCTGTCTTCACTGAGTTGAAAAGGGCTTTACAGAAGAGATTTTTAATTGGATCTTAAATAGGTTTGGGAGTTTTCCCAAAGGCACCTTGGAGGAGCATGGCTACTCAGAGAACATCCGGAAGTTCTCTGTGGCTGTAGTATTTAAGGGAGAGTGGTACGTCAGGCTAAAGAGGTGGGTAGGGGCTTATGTAGATTGAAAAGGCATTCAGCCTTTATACTTCAGGGTAGTGGTCTCCACCTTTACCACACACTGAAATCAACTGGTAAGTTTTAAAAACTCTCAACACCCAGGTTATACCCCAGACAGATCAGAATTTCTGGTGCTGGGAACCAGGCCTCACTGTCTTTTAAAGCTCCTCGGTGCTTCCAGTGTGTAGCTACAGTGAGAAGCAGAACTGATAGGAGCCTGCCAAAGGGCTATCTTTAGCACACCTCTGCTGGAAGCTTGGAAGATGTTTGTTTAGAGAAGGGGGCATTCAGAAAGGAAAGGATGAATGCTTCAGGGACTAGTTGAGGGAAACGGCCAATGCCAAAGAAACATAAAGCAAGAGACTTATTTTTATTTATTATTTTTTTGGTTTTTGTTTGTTAGAAGTCAATGTGCGCCAAGAAGGTGAATCATGTTCTAGTAAGAGTATTCATAAACTGTGAAAGGTGGGGTTATTGTTTCTTTGCTGCTATTGTGTGAAGATAAGTAACCCTTAAGTTTCTTGGAGGAATTCTGGGTCTTTTAACACAATTTTTCTGTAATTCTGTAATAGATGTAGTTATAGCCCTAGTTAAACATAATTACAAATAGAATTCATAAGGCCTTACACAATGTATGCATAGTTAAATAGCATATGATAAGCATGCACAATTTTATATGTTAATTAAAAAAATCGGAGATTTAGAAAATGGCCAATGCCAAAAAGAAAGCCTAACTCTCTTTCATGGAAGCTTGGAAGATGTTTGTTTAGAGAAATCATCAGGGTTTGTCCTTGTCTGGAATGGGGAGTCACTTATAGACCAGGGGTCAATTAGAAGCCCAAGAATGAGATATGAGATGCCGATAAGGAGACTGAATTGACTGGGTGGTCTGTAGGTCATAGAGCTTGGCTAGGTCAGGAGAGTGACATGAAATAGTAACTGTAGATGGAGAAAAAAGGAACAACTTTGAAAAAGGTGAATTTCCAACAAACTATGTAAGGTCCCAGTTTATGTATAACCAGCCTGAAGCACAAGCCAAAGTGATTTGCTATTTTTTCTCTCCTTCCTCTTTTTTTTTTTTTAGGCTCCAGAGGTAGAATCACGCATGCTAGGCAAGTGCTCTACCATTGTTGTTTGAGCTTATTGACAACATAGAAATCACTTTTGTAGGTGATGGGACTAGAACTAAAATAGTGTGACTTCTGCTACCTTTTATTGATCAAAGAAGTCAGAGGTTAAGACCTCTCTAAGTCAGAGGTCCAACCCAAATTCAGAGGAGTGGAAATAGACTGCATCCCTTGATGGAAGAAGCTGCATGTTCATATGGGATGGGAGGAGCTGTTGGCAACCATCTTTGTGGAGGCAGTCTGCCTTTAGTTGACTGCTGGGAACACAGAGAAGTGGGTTCTGGCTTCATCTGGTCATTCCAGGGGGCAAAGAATGTGTGTAACTTCTCTTTATTCCTAGGAGGTAGGTCTCTGTCCCAATTTCTCCAAGACAAGAACCTTTTAGAAAAGTCCTTTTAGTTTCCTTATACCTACCCAGTGAATTTTTGGATTCCATAAGGAGACTAAAGATGGATGATTTGAAGAACTTCCTGAATTTCCTCACCACTATGGGAAGTAAGTTATTAGGGTGGAGGAATTTTAGTAGGTGACTGAGGATAGGGAGAACTGAACCTGTGTTAACTAAAATGGCTTGGGGACACAGTCCTCATCCTTTAGAGTGGTCCTGAAGACACCACCCCTTTCTTTTCTGTGCTCCAGTTTCACAGTTTTTTGGGAGAAGGTTACATGTGCAATTAATGGCTGGGTCTTCTTTTAGGTCCTGAAATATCTGAGGCAGAAGCCACTTACAAGGACGTCAGTGCTCCAGAGGAGGCTGTTCTGGAAGGTCCAGTTGCCAGTGGACAAAACATTTCAGGACAAATGACTGGAGAAAGCTGGAACCCTGAGCTCAAACTACTGAGGACTCTTCAGCCCACTGATGACGAGAATGAGAAGAACCAGCCCTCTGGGGCACAGAGTGGGAAGTCTCTGCAGACATAAGTTGAAGGCATCACTTAGGCCAGCCTTATCGGATACCTCAGATACCAGGTGTCTGAGGACAGTGACCTTTGACATAGGGTAGAAAAATGAGGGGAATTCTGTTCCAGAGGCTTCACCAGGGCCTGAGTTTAGAGATTTTTCATTTACTTCTATTGGCCTCTAAAATATGTGAGGGAGAAGAAGCCCTTTTAAACGTAGGTGACTTCTCCACTGGGGAGAATAATTTTAATGATTAAACACAACTGCTTCTCAATCAGAAGACTCATTCTCTGTTTCTTAGTGTCTGTTTTTTGGGTTACTCTTATATTTTCTTTGAAACTCTGAAAGGTTTCCAGTTGAGGAAGCTGAATTTGGCCTATGCACACCCCCATGATAGTTCTAGATTTCCCCCAAATTCTCTGGAAATTGTTTATTTTGTAGATTGGGTCCATAGCGTTATTAAATAACACTCACTGGGTCCTTGTGTATGTGGTACTAGGTATTCCTTGGAAGAGCTTATCACTTCAGTTTCTAAGGAATTGAGTCTACAGGGAAGTTTCAAGAATACTCAAAGATTTAGATAGAATCCCAGAGCCTCAGGAGTCCTATAGTTCAGTTTTTAGAAGGATTTTCTTTTCATGTTTCAGTCCTTAAAAAACTTTTATATTTAGTAGAATTTTACAGCTGCATAAAGGTAAAGAGAATAATATCATGGAACTCTCATGTTCATGGTACCTGAAACATGGTCAGGAAAGGCTCTTGAGCTGTCCCATGCTATAGAAAACCCTGCACTGACCCTTTTCTGGCCACATTGCTCCTTATGGAGAGAGAAGTCGGCAGGGGCACAGGCACAGGTTCCTCATGGAGACTGTATCTCTTCTTGAATTTTGCACCTGGCATCTGGAACCCTAAAATTCCCTGCCTAGATGGCCTCACCCCTACTTCTGTGACCTGTGTAGTACTCTTTCCTGGGTCCACTCTCCCCAGGGCAGCCTGCCCTGTCAGTGTGAATACCACTGGGTTTGAGGTAGCAGAGAGGAAGCTGTTTAAAGGGGGGTGGGCCTACAGCTTGGACATGGGGACAGGGGTCTCTGTCTGTGGGGTTCTTCCCAATACAAGTGAGAGCTGGAACAATTCACAATAGCAAGACTGTGGAACTAACCTAGATGCCCTTCAATAGACGAATGGATAAAAAAAATGTGGCATTTATACACAATGGAGTATTACTCTGCATTAAAAAATGACAAAATCATAGAATTTGSAGGGAAATKGATGGCATTAGARCAGATKATGCTAAGTGAAGCTAGCCAATCCHTAAAAAACAAATGCCAAATGTTTTCTTTGATATAAGGARAGTAACTAAGAAYAGAGTTGGGAGGAAGAGCATGAGAAGAAGATTAACATTAAACAGGGGTGAGAGGTGGGAGGGAAAAGGAAAGAGAAGGGAAATTGCATGGAAATGGAAAGAGACCCTCAGGGTTATACAAAATTACATACAAGAGGAAGTGAGGGGAAAGGGGAAAAAAAACAAGGGGAAGAAATGAATTACAGTAGATGGGGTAGAGAGAGAAGATGGGAGGGGAGGGGATGGGGGATAGTAGAGGATAGGAAAGGCAGCAGAATACAACAGACACTAGTATAGCAATATGTAAAACAGTGGATGTGTAACTGATGTGATGCTGCAATCTGTATACGGGGTAAAAATGGGAGTTCATAACCCACTTGAATCAAAGTGTGAAATATGATATGTCAAGAACTATGTAATGTTTTGAACAACCAACAATAAAAATTAAAGGAAAAAAAAAACAAGTGAGAGCTGGAATGAGAAGAGTGGACCATGGATAGTGGCTGGTTCTTCTCATGCTGCATTTCAGGTGTCGAATCTCAAAGAATCTGTGAATTCTGAATGAGTCTGGCTTTTTGGGTCATAAAGGTATACTGGTCAAGGTGGGAGAATAGAATATGTTTATTTTAACAAATTGTAGCTTGATTTATAAGTATTTTTTAAAAAATATTTTCAGGGCTAGGGTTGTGGCTCAGTGGTAGAATGCTTGCCTAGCACGTACCATGCAAGGCCCTAGGTTCGATCTTCAGCACTACATAAAAATAAATAAAGGTATAAAAAAATTTTTTCAGTTGTAGATAAAATACCTTTATTTTATTTATTTTTATGTGGTGCTGAGGATAAAACCCAGTGCCTCACATGTACTAGGCATTCACTCTACCATTAAGCTACAACCCCAGCCCCATTTATAAGTTTTAAATGTATACAAATGGTTAGTAGACTTGATTTTGTATTTTTTTGGAGGGGGGTAGTGGGGATTGAACTCAGGGGCACTCAACCACTGAGCCACATCCCTAGCCCAATTTTGTATTTTATTTAGAGACAGGATCTCACTGAGTTGCTTAGCATCTTGCTTTTGCTGAGGCTGGCTTTGAATTCACAATTCTCCTGCTTCAGCCTCCTGAGCTGCAGGGATTACAGGCATGTGCCACTGCACCCAGCTTTGATTTTGTATTCTTATCCTGAGTCTTGTCATAGGTAGGGTTGGGCCGGCACATATCATTGTCTGGGAGAAATTTTAAGGAAGGAGAATTTAACACTACTATWTAGAGGTCATTAGCTTATCTGAGATTTAAAAAAATATATATTTATTTTTATTTTTTGGTGCTGGGGATCAAACTCAGGGCCTCACACACCATAAGCAAGAATTCTACCACTGAACTGTGTCCAAAGCCCTGTATTGCATTTTATTTTATTTTATTTATTTTATTTTATTTTTTTTTTTAGAGAGAGAGAGAGAGAGAGAGAGAGAGAGAGAGAGAGAGAGAGAGAGAATTATTTAATATTTATTTTTCAGTTTTTGGCGGACACAACATGGTTGTTTGTATGTGATGTTGAGGATCAAACCCAGGCCGCACGCATGCCAGGCGAGCGCGCTACCACTTGAGCCACATCCCCAGCCCTGTATTGCATTTTAAAGGTGAGATCAGTGAGGCTAAGAGAGAATGTGACTTTACTGAGGTCATCATCTGGGAAGTGGTAGAGCTGGATGACTTGAATCTGGGATGCCTAGTACCAGGTCGGAGCTTCCTTCAGCATGCTACTTCTCTCTTACTTCATCTCCAGAATGACACTTGATTGTTCATCATTATGTTTAATTAGGGACTGGCTGACTTTTCTTCTTGTTGGGTTACTGGTCTTCTCCGATAAAAAATTAATGTGTGTTCCAGGATGGCAGCTCTTTTTTTTTTAAATCAGGAAAACTGGAAACATACAAAAATAATGAGCCCATTCCATACAATTATCAATTTATAGCCAATCTTGTATCATTCTCACCCTTCCTAGATTATTTGAAGAAAATCTGTTTTATCCTTAAATATTTTACTAGCATCTCTAAAAGAAAAATATTAAAAATAACCAGAATTATTTCATAACAAAAAATTAATAGTTGTTGTTTAATATAATCAAATTATATCCAAATTTCCCTGTCTAGAAGTTTTTATTTTTATACCTGGTACATTCAAATTAGAATCCAAACAAGGTCCATAAATTTCATTTGACTGATATGCTGTAAAATCTCTGAATTTATAGGTTCCTCACACCATGTGACCTAACTATACAACTCCTCAGTATTTATCTTAAAGAATAAAAGTAATCATACTATAGTTATAAATGCATATCTGTGTTTATAGCAGCATAGTTCACAATAACCAAAATTATGCAACCAGCCTAAATGTTCCTTAATGAATGAATGGATAAAGAAAATGTGGTATATCTACACAATGGAATTCTATTCAGCCATAAAGAAGAGCAAAATTCTGTTATTTGCAGGAAAATGGATAAAAGTTGAGAATATTATGTTAAATAAAATAAGCCAAACTCAGAAAATCAAGGATTGTATGTTTCCCTTGTAGAAAGGAAAAGAAAGGTGTATGGGAGTGGCATCTCGTAGAAATTGAAGGGAAACTGGTAGAGTAGAGGAAAGGAACCAGGGCGAAGGAGGAAGGCAAAGACAGGGGGAGTACTGGGGAACGATATTGGCCAAATTATATYGTTTTACCATGCGCAAGTCTGAATATGTAACAGAAAATCCAAATGTTATATATAAGTATGATGCACCAATGAAATATGGAAAAAATTTATAGGTTCTTCCTTTTTTTTTTTTCTCTTTTCTTAGCATTCATTTGTTAAATGTGTTTGTAGTTTCCCACATCCTGGATTTTGCTGATTTCATCCCCAGCTGGTGTTTTAACATGTTTCTCTATTCTTTTGCAAACTGTTATTTAGACTGGGAATCTCAACCTGCTTCAGGTTTTATTGGAAAAAACATTTCATAAATGTCATTGTGTATTTGATGAGGAGACCATAATGTCTGTGGGTCTCTTCTCTAGTCTTAGTGGCCATGATCCTTGCCTGATTTTTGTATATTGACCTTGTATCCTATAACTTTGTTGAACTTGTTTATTAGTTTGAATTGGTTTTTTCAAGTGAATTTCTTAGGATTTTCTCTACATATGTCATCTGCAAATAGAGGTATTATTCTTTCTTTCATTCCAATTGAGATGCTTTTAATTTTCTTTTCTTGCTTCACTGCCCTCTCCAAACCCTCTGGTATAATATTGAATAGAAGTGTTGAGAGTGGACATCCTCATCTTATTCCTGATCTTAGGAAGAAAGCATCCAATCTTTCACCATTCAGTATGGTATCAGCTGTGGGTTTTTCAAAGAAATTTTAATTAGATTGAATTCACTTCTATACCTAGTTTGTTGAATTTTTATTTTGTTTTTTAATGATGAAAGGACATTGAATTTTGTAAGTGCTTTTTTGTCTAATGTGAGATCATGTTTTTTTTTTATTCTGTTAATACTACACTATATTAATTGATTTTTGGATGTCAAACCAACCTGTAATCCTGGGAAAAATTTCACTGGATCATCATGTATACTTACTTTTATATGTTGGTAGATTCAGTTTGCTAGGGGTTTTCATATCCATATTACAAGAGATTGGTCTGTAATTTTCTTGTGATATCTTTGGTGTTAGTATCAGGGACTCAGAATGAATGTTCCAATTTTGTCTGCTTTTTGGAAGAGTTTGTGGAAGAAAGGTATTTAATTCTTTAATGCTGGTAGAATTTACCAGTAACACAATCTGGGACTGGGCTTTTCTTTGTGGGTAGTTTTTGATTACCAATTCAGTCTCCTTATTGGAATTCTATGCAGATTGCCTATTTCTTCTTGAGTCAGTCTCTATAGTTTGTGTCTTTAGGAATTTGTTCATTTCATCTAAATTATCACTTTTTAGCATGTAATTATTTTTAGTATATATATTTTTTTGTTACCA